TGTCTGTAACTCCAGTTCAAGAGGATCTGACATCCTCTTCTGTCTTCCATGGGCATTGCACAACACAGGTGCACTCACCTACATGCAGACATACACGCATACACATAAAGTAAAAATAATATTTTTTTTTTTAAATAATCAGGGAATGTAGCCAGGCATGGTGGCACATACCCCTAAATTCGGAACTTTGCAGATGGACTAGGAGAATCAGGAGGTCAGAGCTAGCCTCAGCTATATAATGAGTTCAAGCCCAGTCTGTATGTGCTACAGGAGACCAGGTCTCAAATAATAAACAATAAAAACACCTAACAACAACATAAACAAAAATAATCCAGCAGTCGGTCAACAACAGATAAGAAAGAAGATCTGACCACAGAGGGATGGCATTCCCATGAGGCAACAGTCTCCAGGGCTGGAGAAGTGGCCACCCTCACTTAGCAAATAGGGGGGCAGTCTTCCTTTGTGTGGACAAAGAGGATCCTGCGCATCTGAGCAGCAAGCACAGATGTGCTCCAGCTTCACTCCTGTAGGACACAGCAGAGAATGCACTCCTTTGATTTTGTAACTTGATCTAGAAGAAAGCTATGGGTGACTTGCAAAAAAGAAAGAAATCAGGGGCTAGCAAGATGATTCAGCAAGGGGCCCACACATACACACACCAACACAATAAATAAATGTAATAATAATAAAAGCCAGTCTGGCCTTCCTGGTGGCAGTTGCATGTGGAAGTGGCTGGACTTTGAGGACACTGGGGGAGAGGGGGTTCCATGCCAAACAGTGAGCAAAACAGATACGGTGGGTTTGGATGTCAGCAGGTTACCTGATTTTTCTGGGAACTCATCATAGTCAAAACAAAAGCACAGGTGGCTGTCATGGTCACAGGCAGACCTGTTGGGTTCTAGAAGCACAGAAAGCCATGCACAGAGCATTCCCCGGAGGATGGTACAGACTTTGTATCACAGAAGGAACAGGGATTCACTGACAAGCCTCCTGTGTGTGTGTGTGTGTGTGTGTGTGTGTCTGTCTGTCTGTCTGTCTGTCTGTCTCCAGTATGGTAGGTAAGCACGTCACCATTCAGATACATCCCCAGTTCCTTTATTCAGGCAGTCCTCCTGTCTCTGCCTCCCAAATGCTAGTTTCATAGGTATGAGCCACCATGCTCAACTGTTTCTTAATTTTTGTTTTAGTTTGTTTTGAGACAGGGTTTCATATAGCCCAGGTTGGCTCAAATTCACTATGCAGCTAAGGATGGTTTTAAACTCCTAATCATCTTGCCTCCACTTCCAAAGCACTGAGATTACAAGTGTTCACCACCATGTATGACTAAGGTTTTCTGTTCTGTTTTTTTAATTATTTTTATTTTATGTGTATGAGTGTGTTGCCTGCATGTAGGTAGTTGTACCCTTGCTGTGCAATGCCCGCAGAGGTCAGAAGAGGGCGTCAGATCCCCTGGAACTGAAGTTACAGTTGTTAACAGCCATGTGGGTGGTGGGAATCGAACCCAGGTCCTCTGCAAGAGCAGTCAGTGCTCTTAACCACCAGAGACATCTCTCCAGCCCAGGTTTTGTTTTTTAAAGCTAGGGATTGAACCAGGACCTGGCAATTCCAAAGCAAATGTCCTCCACTGAGCTGTCCCCAGACCTTGGATGTTCAGGGTTTTCTACACACCGTTTTTAACTAGAGTTCATTTGATCTCTTCCTTTTCAATCTGGATCTTTTCTTCTTCTTGCCCCATTATTCTGACACAAACTTCTACTGCTATGCTGCACAGGAGCTGAAAATGAGACTCCTTGGCCCATCTTCGTCTTAAAGGAAGAGCTTGTCTTTCCCTTCCTGTTCTCTGTGGGGTTCTCATTTATGGCTTTTATTGATGTAACTATTGTTAACTGGGAACAGAAACTATTGATGTAGTTTCTGTTCCCAGTTTGCTATTGCTATTTATTATTTTATATATATGAGTGTTTTGCCTGCATGTATGTAAATATATCCATGTATGCAATGCCCATGGAGGTTGGAAGAGGGCGTTGGACCTCCCATTACTAGTTATAGATGTCAGCTGCCATGTGGTTGCTGGGAACGAAACCTAGGTCCTCAGCAAGAGCAGCCAGTGCTCCTAACTGCTGAGCCATCTCTTCACCCCTGTTGTTTTTTTAATCCTGAAGGGTGCTAAACTTGCTTTTACTGAATCAATTGAGAGGATTAGAGATTGTTTTCCTTCATCCTGTTAATGGGTATATTGCAATGGATCAGTCTCATACACTGAGCCATCCTTGAATTCCAAGAATAGGTCCTATTTGGGACTGGTGAGTAATCTTTTAATATGCTAAACTTAGTTTGGTAGTATTCTGTTGAGGATTTTGAGGATTTACTATTATGGGGGGGACAGAGTATGTGTAGTCAGAGGACAACTTTGTGGAGCCGGTTATCTGTTGAGCCATCTCATTGGCTGATTTTTGCATCAGTATTCATAACGGATATTCTTCTACAGCTTTTGTGAGTTTTTTGGTGTGGACTTTGTATTGGCCTAATGCTGGCTTTATGGATTACTAAGTGCTTTTCCCTTTTCCATTTTTAAAAATTTTTTTTTGGTTTGAGACAGGGTCTCCCTTACCCCTTACCCGTTGCAGGTGTGCTCCCATGTGTATTTCTTTGCAATTTAGTCTTGGTGGACTTTGTGTTTCTGGGAATTTATCTAGTTCACACAGCTCACCTAATTTGTTGGTGTAAAATGATTCTGTGTAGAACTGGTAGTAATGTCTCCATTTCTGGTTTTAGTACTTTCAGTCTTCTCTCCTTTTAGTCCGTTTAGGGGTTGATCGATTTAGTGAATCTTGTTCAAGAGCCAACTTGGGACTTCATTGAGTTTTTCTCTAACATTTTTTTTTAATGTTTATTTAATTTTTATGTCTGTGTTTTGCCTGCATGTCTGTACATGTACCCATGTGTGCAGTGCCCATGGAGACCAGAAAGGGGCACCAGATCCCCTGGAACAGGAGTTATGGATGGTTGCTAGTTGCCATGTAGATGCTGGGAACAAAACCCAGATTCTCTGCAAGAGCAGCTGGTGCTACCAATCGCTGAGCCACCTCTGCAGCCCTCTAGCAGTTTTCTGTCCTTTACTTCTGTTTAGTCTTTCCTTTCTTCTGCTAGCTTCTGTCTAGTTTCTTTTACTACTTCCTTAATTATAAAGCTGTGTCACCTGAGAACTTGTTTTCTATTCCCTAAGTATTTTTTCCCCACAGCTCATGAGTTTTGGTAGATTACAGGCTTTTTTTTTTTTTTTTTTAAAAAAAAAAAAAAAAAAAAAAAAAAAAAATTGGAGCCCCAGGGGTTAAAGAATCCTCTGCAAGAGAAGCCAGTGCTCTTAACCACTGAGCAATCTCTCCAGTACCTTATAGATTTTTTAAAAAACAAAAACAAAAACAAAAACAAAGAATTGGAGTCACAGGGGTTAAGAGAAAGACACTTAGAAAAGAAGTAAGGCTCACTGAGAACATGGGTGTTCCGTGAAGAGCTGCAAGGCTATTTTTATTTCAAGCACTTCTTTCCTTTGCAATCTCTTCTTTGGTCCATTCATTAAAAGTGTGTTGGTGGGCCAGTAAGATAGCTCAGGGGCTGAGCTCAAGTTCTGGAACTCATGGTAGGAGAGAAGCAACTCAAAGTTGACTTCTGATCACTATACACACTGTGGCACACATGCCCATACTCATGCACATGCATCACACTAAATACAGGCTGACCTTGAACTCCTCGAACCTCCTGCCTCCACCTCCCAAGTGCAGGGATAACAAGTATGTAACATGTAACATGCCTGGTTTAGCACTATCTTTTCTCTGTTTTCTTTCTTTCTTTTTATTTTTTAGAGACAGTCTTTCTGTAGCCCCAGCCAGCCTGGAACTTGTTATATCGACCAGATCACAGAGATCCTCCTACCTAGCAATATCTTTTTAAAAAATCTTTGATTTTTTTCTTTTTAAAGATTTATTTGTGTGAGCACATGCATGCACATGGAGGTCAGAAGCAGGCATTAGGTGTCCTTCTCTCTCACTCTCCACCTATTCCTTTGAGGCACGGTTTCTCCTCGAACCAAAGGATTATGTTTCTCAGCTAGGCTAGAATACAGCAAGCCCCAGCAATCCTGTTTTCACCTCCCCTTGAAGCTGAGGTTACAGGTATTTGCTGAGTGTCTGGCTTGTTATATATGTGCTGGAATCTGAACTCTGGTTCTCATGACTGTGCAGCAAGTGCTTTTAACTTCTGAGCCATCTCTCCAGCCTCAGCACTATCTTTTGAACAGAGTAGCTCAATATATGTCTGACCAGTAAGATCTCCGACTTCTGATGGAAGGCAGGTCAGCATCAAAGCTGAGCTGTTGCCTGGGTATCCCACAGTGGTGTGATCTTGGATCAATTCCTTTACCATTACCTGCTTTCCCAGCTGAACACCATAATTCCTACCTCCTGGCATTGCTGAATGTTAGATTAAGATGATATTCAGAATGGGGGCTCCACAAACAATTCCTGTCTGCTGTTTCTGCCAACCTCCTTTCTCTACACATGACACTGGCAATAAGGCTTCTAGAAATCAGACTGAGACGAAGGCTGCTCCCCCCACCCAGGGTTCTGTTAGGTGACACTCTGTGTGTCACAGCCCTGTCACCTCCCTATCTGATCCCTCTATCGGTTTACTCGTTCTTGAGGACTAGTCTTCTCCCCATCCTCCCTCCCTACCTCTCTCAGTACTCATGTAGCCCAGGCTAACCTCAAATTTGATATATAGGTTAAGGATGGCAGTGAACTTCAGATCCCCCCTCAATACTGCCATTACAGGCATGCATCATCATTCCTGGCTCTGTAATACAACCTTCCTTTGGAAAGAGCTCCTTAACTCCTGGCAAGGGTCCAGACACCCCATCTCTCCATTCCTGTCCTCCTATACCATCCATCCACATAGTCTCCAACACTCATCTGGACTGGTCAAAACAAACACAAGCCCCAAGACACCTTGGTAAAACTTTATTCACAAACTCCAGACACCCAGGCCTGGCTCAGCACAGAGGGTATGCTCTTACCAGTGATAAACAAAACCTCCAATACAACACATTTGTTAATACGAACCATTTTAATTTAAATTAAAGCATTTCTGGAAGACAAACGCAATTGATAGAAAATATAAAAACTTTTACTGTACAAATTTTACATCACATTTTTTAAAAAAGCAAATAAGTGTGTGCCTCATGGCCACAGAAGACACTGGTGTGCACACAGATGACAATCCTGGCCAGCGCTATAGCACAGCATGGCGCCCTGCCCCCAACCCCATCACTAGAGTGCGAGACAGGCTTGTCACTCCCTGCCTGGGCCACAACACACTCCTGGAGATGGCAGAGGGTTTTGATTTGGTGCAGTAGAGAGGTCAGTTTAGTTCCATGCTGCTCATGGTGAGCCCAGCACTAGCTAGGATTCAAGACTTCCATCAGACAGAACTCCAGGAGCTGCAGCTCTGGCAGGTAAAGGCCTCCTTGGAGGTGAGGCTGGGAACTTGGCGTGCCTGGGAAGCATGTGCTTGACTCAGACCTCAGGCGGGCCCTCTGCAGCCTCTGCCCTCTCCATTGCCTTCACAGTGGCCATAGGAGCTGAATTCACAGTATCTGTCATCCTTCATGTGTTTCCTAGGAGATGGGAAGAGCACGCAGGAGGCAAGCCTTCCTAACCTCAATTCACAGTCACTTAAATAGAAAAGGGAATGGGGAACCACAGTGGGGCACTCTTTTAAATGAGGGGCAATGCAGAGGCAGGCCACATGGCCCCTGGGCTCCTGGAAGACGTTGGCCCCCAGTAGATCATTGGCTCCTTAAGGCAGGACCCATGACTGTTCCTCTCTTGTCCCTAGCATATGCACACGACCTTGTTCACTGCAGTGCTCAGAGCTTCCTGAACTGTGATGTTCACAGGACAAAGTGAGACCCAGGTTCAGCAGGATGTGTGTCAGAGCTATGGCTCGGTGTCAGAGGGCGACAGGAAGAACACAGACTCAGCTGCCATCCAGCCCTTGTCAGCCTGGTGGCTCCTGTTCTGCCCTTGAGGGGAGGCCAGCATCATATTCACAACCAACAAGGGGAAAGAAAGGCCAGTGGCTTAAGCACTGTGATTTCTGGGAAGGGGCAGACATGAGACTGCCACAGAGGAGGTGACCACATGCTATGTGGCTTTGGAAGAGGTCACATTAAGGGCTAATATAAGAAGCTAAAGGGATAAGGGGTGAATCAACAGTCCCACCCCAAAGGAGAGATGACCCACACAAAGCTGAGGCCACAGGACACAGCCTCTTCTCCTCCTTCACAACACCCATGGGGCAGGGTGAAGATAATACCGTCCAGTGCATGTACAACAGGACAGTGATGCTGGGGTGAGGCCATCCACAGCTTTTCAGAGTGGCCCACTAGATGTGACATCTGGACCACCCTCTGGTGCCAGGGAAAGCTCTAGAGATGGAGTTTCTACAGATGGAGGCTCTGCTTGGTGGATGTAACTGAAAGAGGGAGTCACATGTCCACCTAACAGTGGAACTCCGAGTTTGTGGGCCAGAATCCAGTCACATCCTGACTTTTTTTTTCCTTTCTGGTTGTGGAATCTGCTCAAGGGTTACTTTGCTCTGTAAGCAGTAGTTTCAATGCAGCACTTTCCTGGATCAAGTGCTTCCTGTCATTGGAATGGACACAAAAGGAAAGAGCTTGCTAGGTGGGTCTAGCTAAGGTGGCTGGACAGCCTCATGCTCTCCTCTGAACTCAGAGCACAAACAGAGGTCTGAATGGACTAAGGTTTCAGTGAGGCCAGGGAAGTAGAATAGGTGGTAGTCTTAGAACCTTCTGGCATGACTGACAATGGGTTTTAAAGTGCTAGGGTCACCTGGTGACTGAATAGGGGGCTTAGCCAGGTACCTGACGGCAGTGTCTGCCACATTCTCTGTTCCTGATCATTAAGTATTCACAGTACACACAGCTAATGGGCTAGCCGCAGCTCCAGGGGTAGACACAGGTATGGGGCATGTCTGATGGCAAACACTGAGTCTCTTGATCTTTGTGCCTGCCTAGAGGCCTCACAGAAGCAGCACATCTCCACAGAGGTGTGGCTGTCTCCTCACCTTGCAGCAGAAGCCCAGGCTATGAACCATCAAATCCCTCTAGATGCTCTTTGGATTCTATCTCTACTTTTCAGCAGGAATAGCCTGGATGGGAGCAGTTGGAAGGTGAACCTGAGCTCTCTGAGAACTCCTGACTCCCATAACTCAGATTGGTTCCTAGCCAGGGTTTCCTCTGCAAGATAAGGAAGGAATAGTGCTCCTCTGATAGGGAGGAACTGCTGGGAGTTAGGACAGAAGCAGAGGTCAAGGGCAACCTTGTGTCTCCTCGCCTTCTTCTTCTAGAACAGTCACAATCACGACACTTTCCTTCCCCCTGGCCCAGCACTAGGCACCTCACTGTAGCACGGCCTTCCAGAGGGGATGCCACATCTGCTACCCCAAAGTGTGCCCTTCCGCATGAACTCTTTATTACTCCCTACTGTAAAACATCAGGCTCACTGGGCGGAAACACTGTGTAAACACTGGCTCTTGTTGGGACAGGTCTGGCTGTTGTGGCATCATTGAGTGGCAGGTGTGGCTCAGTCTTCAGGCCCCACACACATCTTTGTAATGTACACTCTGAACGGAGGACTCGTGTCCCTGGTCTGCAGCTTTGAGCAAGTGCAGTGGTTCTGTTTTGATTTCTTCTTGTGATGGTGATGTTTTTTTAGAAATACATCTCAAAAGAAAAGACACATTCTGCATGGACCCACATGGCTGGCTACATCTTTGGATTACTGGACTCCAGGACCCCCAGGCCGAACCTTTCAAACCGGGGCATGACTTTGCTGCTGGTAATGCTGTGAAGAGGAGCAGAGACATGGGTTATGGCCCTGCTGGTCTTGATCAGAGTTAAGGTAGCACTGGCTGGAGGCTCAGCAGAGGACTTGGTCCCTGACAATGAGTGACAACGATTGCTCGGTCCACAGCCTTGGCAGAGCTGCTCCTGGCCACCCTGGGTTCTGGGCCTCCGTCATACCCACAGAACACTGACATGCCTGGTTCACCTGACTCTCCAGCACTCAGCATGCTGGTAGCCACTGTGGGCTCATGTGGACTGTTTCCTCACTGGCTGTTCCACTTGGAATTGGGAGAGAAGAGAGACCTAAGGCCCAGTACCAGAAGTGATGTCACACTCCTAAAAATGGTGCTCATGTAGGATCCCCTAGGGCCACCTGGTGGCAGGCAGAGGTACAGATTCCCAAGACTGACTGCAGAGATCTATCTGGTCAGGGCTACAGAACCCCACCAGCAGATGTGATGGTAGCTCTGCATCCATTACTCAAGTTTGGAGACTGCTACTTCTTTGCTTAGGACAGTTTTACTGGATGCAGCTCCTAAGGACACAGCCCTTTCAAGCTAACGTCTTTCACAGCAACATGATTTTTTGTGTCTACTGCCCTCTGTCTTCAAGAGACAGAGAAGGACCCCAGAGAGGCCTGGTGATACGGTGTGGCCTCGGGGCAGCTCTGGAACCATTGCACTCTTTGCAGGACAAAGTCCCAGGGTCCCCAAGGCCCCTCCCCGTTCTCTGAGCATGCTCAAAAGGGCTCAGGAAGGTGTTAGTAGGGGCCACCAGAACACAAACGAGAGCCACCCTTGGGAGAACAGGAGAGAAAGGGTAGTCCTGTCCACGAAGGTAGCCAGAAGTTATTCTTCTGCCTTGAGGGGTCACCCAGTTAGTGCCATCCTCCCTGGGCAGTGACTCAGGCACACGCAGGCCACGTAGAGGGGAGGGGCTGTTGTTAAAAACAAACAGAGCACAAAAAGGAATCTGGAGAAAGGAGACTGGAACAGCAGAGCCGGCATCCCCTAGGTTAGTGCCCGCTGGCATTTTGAGTCTTAGCAGAAGTCACGCAGCTGAGTTGGCGATTAGAAGGAAGGAAGCCCTGCATGCAAGACAGCCAGGCCTACAACCTACGACAGAGGAAAGAGTGGTGTCAAAACCCCAGCCCAAAGGAGCCAGCGCACAGAGGCCTGACCAGAGCAGCTGTCCAAGACCCCACCTGCTGTGAAGAACGGGACCCCCCAACTCCACCCTCTGAGTGGCAGCAGGGTAAGTTCAGCAGGTGGCCTGGGCACAGTTACAGGCACCCACAGCTCCTTAGGTACACAGCCCTTGAGACTATCAAGACTGACTTCGTGGAGTTTATTATTTTTACTCATTTGATTCTCTCTTCCCCTACCTCTCTATTATTAATTTGTCATTATTACTATTATGGCTACTATTTGTACTGCTGGGGCTCAAATCCCAGTCTTGCACATACTGAGCAAGTACTCTACCACTGAGCCACATCCCCAGCCCTTGGTGTTTTTATTTCTGAGAGTTCACTATGTAGCCTAGGCTGGCCTCAAATTCATGATCCTCCTGCCTCAGCCTCCTGAATGCTGGGATTGTAGGCGTATGCTACCAGAACCAGCTCCTTGGATTCTCTTGTGGCTCTAGCCACATCTTGGGGTCATGGATCAATGAGCCAAGTTCTCACCCACCCACACACTAGCCCTGTGTCCACACTTGGTGTGGAGAGGGGCCCCACTGCCTGCTGTGGGTTTCTCTTATCCACTGAGAGAAACAAAAGCCCAGTTAGTGGCCCTTGCCAGTAGCCATTTCAGCCACAGGATGTCAGTGAATTATGGGAATTAAAGCACAGGAGCTGGGATGCAGAGGTAGAATGGGAAAGGGGTATGCAGCAGGACAGCCACACTCAGGCAGGAAATGAGAGAAGTGACACACTATTCCTCCAGAACTGGACAGGAGTTCTTAAAGTCGGGGTGACCGTAACGTCCTTTCCCGTAGTAGCGGCTCCGCCAGCGACTGAAGAGAGTGATCCATCCCGTCAGCCCAGCAGGTGATGGCAGTCGGGTAGAGAAATCAGGATGATGGGACAGGGAGATGACAAGACAGGCCACCACCCCCCCAAAATGAAAAGTGACAAAGCCAATGGGAAAGAAAAGAGAAAATGAGAATTAGAGGCCCCGTGTGTGGAGACAAAGAAAGGAAGTCAGACACAGATCATGCAGGCCTGTTACACCTTCCCTTTGGGTTCTTGTAGGTGGGGCTATGGGCTGATGAGAGCCCCCACTGGGAGATGAGAAGGTGGAGCTGCCTGGTTTTCAGGCAACAGGGGTCGTCCTCTGAATGCCCACCTGGTGCAGGCTTTGCTTAGTGTGGGAGGAAGTAGGCCTGGCTGTACATAGAAGGGGGCCCAAGGTCTGCAGAAGCAGATCAGAGCAGGGCCTTGCTGCCTCATGTTCCCCCTCCTCCATCCTGCCAGTGCCAGTCCCTGACCTGCAGAGCTTACAGTATTTACCATCTGACCCTTTCCGGCGAAGTCTGTACACACTGGATCTTATCCAACCCCCATTATGAAAAGCAAGATTCAGAACACAGCCTCAGATCCTCACAAAGGCTCATGGCAGGACAGAGGTCTTGGAGAGGAAGCAGAGAGCCAAAGTAGAAAAAGAACAGGACAGAGTACAGGAGAGATGACAGTGGCCTCTGCTGCTCAGTCCAATAAGGCACAGAGAACCATGAGGGGAAGGGCTTCTGACCCAATCACCATACACTTTAGTGGTGTGGCCCATTAAGAGATGGCGAGTTTTGTGCTGAACAGTTCAGTGACTGAGTTGGAGTCAACGTAAGCAATATTGGCTCTATCTGTTCGGTACACACATGGCTCTGATTTCTAACCCATCTACCTTTCTCCTCCCAGGGCATAACTTTCTCATCATGGTCTAGCCTGGGCTTGACATCAATGATGGTCTAATATAGTGATGTGTAGATTTTCATGGATGGAAACTGGAGGTGCTTGCCTGTTAAAGGGAGCCTCCAGCACAAACTGGGTACCCGAAAGACCCAGATATCGCCCCTGGGGTCTGATGGCAGGTCTGGCTCATCAAGGCAATACTTACTCAGCTGACTTCCAAAAGTGCCCAGGGTGGGAGAGCCGCCGGTTCAGCTTGGGCAGCTTCTCCAGCATGTCCATCAATAGGCTGAAGCTGGGTCTCTCCTGCAGGTCGAAAGCCCAGCAGGCAGACAGGATCTCCTGCAAATGGAGCCACCATTAGTGGTATGTGGGCTGCAGAGAGGGAGGCAGGGGTGTGAATGGACACTTCGTATGGGCACCTTCTTAACTCTCAAGTGCCCTAGCTGGTAGTTTCCTGCACACGCTGTGCACATAAACACCAAGAAGTAACTGTTTCAGATAAACTGCCAAACTTCCAGGTCAAAAGGAAACACATGAACTTGCCTGTTCTCCCTCTGTAGCTCTTCTTGCTCAAATGACAGTAACCAAGTCAAGCAGAATGGTAATGGAGGAAAGATCAAAATGGAGGCGGGTGGCTTTTGGAAGATGGAAGGCACAGTGTTCACAGGTAAAATGCAAGTTGTGCAGAATGTGTGCACGGTGGGGCTGCCACGAGGGAGACTGGAGTAACAAGGACCATACAAGGCAGCAGTTGAGAGCCTGCAGAATGGCTGTCCTCGCCCCAGAGAAGCACTTACTCTTAGGGTCCACGCAAGCTCATGGCACCCCTACAGCCTTGTCATCCAGGAGACCAGCCTGTGAGACAACAGGCCTGACACGTGGCCAGCACAAGGCTCACATCAGCAACCCAGGTTTTTAAGTGGACACCACTGGCTTGCCTGCTATATTAGGAAAAGGCACCATGGGCTTGCCCTACATTAGGAAAGTCAGAGACCAAACATAACAGATCCAGACCCTGCCCCTGGAGGACACCAGTATGTTTGTGTGTGAAGTCACTCTGTCCATTAAACAAGACCAGGGTGCAATAAAAAAAGAAATCATCAAAAGGAAGCATTTGAATTGAAAACATTACTTCTAACCCCAAATAGGAAGAGTGCTAGGAGGAGAAAGTCAAGGAAGCTCTTTGGACTGTAGACCCATCCAGATAAATGCAAAAAACAAGGAAGAAGGTAAAGACCCAGAGGCCCACTTGCAAGGACCAAATTCTGACAGTGGGAATTTTCATAAGAAAAAACAAACACAAGGCAGGCATTATCAAAGAGAAAAAATTTCCCCAAAACTTCCAAAGGAAACAGGAATCTTCAGATGAAAAGTTTTACATAATGGAAGAATCTCACTAAAAAAAATAAAGAGGTTGGGCATGGTGGCACACACCTTTAATCCTAGCACTGGGGAAGACAGAGGCAGGCAGATCTCTGTGAGATTGAGGCCAGCTTGGTCTACATAGCGAGTTCCAGGCTAGCTAGGGATCTGCAGTGAGACCGTCTCAATAGAAAAGAAAAAGAAGGGCTGGAGAGATAGCTCAATGGTTAAGGGCACAGGCTGCTCTTGCAGAGGGCCCGGGTTCAATTCCCAGCACCCACATGATGGCTAACAACTGTCCAAAATGCCAGTTCCAGGGGATCCAATGCCCTCTTCTGACCTCTACAGGTACTGCATGACATGGGCACACTTAAATACACGCAGGCAATACCCTCATACACATAAAATAAAAATAATAAATAAAATTTTTTGAAAAGGAAAAGGGAAAAAAAGTGATGCTCAGACATTTTTATAAAATTCTGCTACAGCAAGGATAAAAGAAAGATCCTAGATGCTTCAGGAAAAAAAGACAGGCATCTGCAGAAGAGAGAGAAGCAGGCCAATCCCAGGTTCCTCGACAATGTACACTCAATACAGAGCAAAGCACAGTCTTTGTGTCCTGGAGGAAACCACTGTGAACCTTGATTCTATTCGGGCTGTGAAGACAGAGAAGGACCTTGGATGTGAGGACTCAAAGGCTCATGGTCCACAGGCAGGCAGTCTCTTTAGTGTCACTCTCATATTGCTGGAGTGAAAATAGAGGGAAAGATGAGAGTCATGGCGCAACTGAGCCGGCAGTGAATAAAGAGCAAGCAGACGGACAACAGCCGTGCAGTGGGCTTAGAATCTCACTGACCACAGACCAGAAATGAACCCGGTGCGGTGGCTCATGCCTGGAATACTGGAGGCAGGAGGATCGCCGCATGTTCAAAGCTATCCTAAGCCACACAGTGAGTTCCAGGCCAGCTTGTACTATATAGAGAGAGTCCCTGTTTCAAAGTGTCAAAACATGAATAAAATGATTGGGGCTGACAAGATAGTTTAGTGGTAAAGGTTCCTGCCTCCAAGCCTGCCGACCTGAGTTTACTCCCTGGGGTGCACTGGGTGGAAGGAGAGAACTGAGTTCCCCAAGTTGTCCTCTGATCTCTACATTCATGCTGTGACACATGCACATGACACCAACCAACAAACTAAAATAAAATGATCACAAGGGAGTGGGCTATGAAAAACGCAACAGGTTCATTCAGGAAGCAGAATATGCTAAAGGAATATGGCAAAGGTTTTTTTAAATTTTTATTTTTATTTATGTGTCTATGTGAGGGTGTGTGTGTGTGTGCCCAAAGTATTCAGAAGAGAGCATTGGATTCTCTGGAGCTGGAGTTATAGGTAGGTAGTTGTGAGCCACCAAGTGGATGGGAACTGAACTTGGGTCTTCTGCAAGAACAGTGAGTATTCTTAACTGCTGAGCCGCCTCTCCAGGCCTTGGTAAAGGTCTTCACTTCCTTTTTCCTCAAGGGGAAAAATAAAAGAGGCACAATGGCACATGCCTCTAAGTCCTATCTACCGAGAAGGCTGAGGCAGGAATACAGAAGGAAGAAAAGGCACAAGACTGTCATGGTCCAAATGTGAAGTCCACAAAATTGTAAGTCACTGATAAAGTGGGGAAAAAAACAAATTTAAGAAAAGGTAGGAGGCAGAGGCAGGTGGAGCTCTCTAAGATCGAGACTACCCTGGTCTACATAGTGAGTTCCAGGCCAGCTGGGAATACAGGAGGCTTAAAAAAAATAAAATAAAATAAAAATAGAAAGAAAAGAAAATTCAGGGCTGAGAATGTAACTTAGTTAGCAGAATGCTTGTCCAGCATGAAGAAAGCCCTGAGTTTGATCTCCAGCACCACATAAACTGGGTGTGCTGGCACATACCTGAACTCTTAGCACTAGGAGGTGGAGGCAGGATAATCAGTAGTTCAAGGTCATCTTTTTTTTTTTTTTTTGGTCTTTTTGTAACAGGGTCTCTCTGTAGCCCCATCTGGCCTGGAACTCACTATGTAGACCAGGCTGGCCTTGAACTCACAGAGATCCGCCTGCCTCTGCCTTCCAAGTGCTTGTTAAAGTTTTTGTGTGTGCGTGTGCATGCACATACTTGTGGAAATCAGAGGAGAAATTACAGGAGTGCTGGGATTAAAGGCATGTACCACCATGCCCAGCTTCAAGGTCATCTTTATCCTTGGCTATATAATGAGTTTGAGGACAGCCTGGGATACATGAAACTATTTAAAAAAAAAAAAAAAAAATTAAGAAAAAAAAAAAAAAAAAAGAAGGAAAAAAAGAAAGAGAAGTGACATTTATTTTGCCCTTAAAAGACATTTGCCCACTGAACTGGCCTCTACCTGTCTCACCTTGACTTCCTTGTCAGGAACTCAGGAAATGCGATCCTTCTTTACAAGGAAACCTTTGCAGGTTCTTGGCTTGCTGGCCTGGTTCTCTGCCAATCTCACAGCCTCATGGGAGGGGCAGGACTTTTGGATCTGTGCCAGGTTGGAGTGCCTGAAGGACTCACCTCCCAAAGGCTTTCATTAGATCACTAGGACACCTCTGTTGCTGAATTAAGGATGGAGTACCTGCCAAATGGCTTAGAAAAAACAACAGAAGTTCATTTATATTATGTGTTTTTCCTTTGTATGATATTATCTTTTCAGGCCTGCCAGGGCTATATAGTGAGACCCTGTCTTAAACAAAACAAAACAAAACAAAACAAAAGAAACCAAACCAAACCAAACCCCTCTGCTGGAATACTTATTGACAGGGTTTAAAGGCAAATGTTTACCCACGACAGTTAAAAAGACTGGCAGGTAGTATCTGCTTCAGCTGTCCCCTGTGCTGTACCAACAGAGCAAGGAGGTTGTGGCTACAGAAATCCCGACTGCAAGTCCACCACAAGTCTCCCAAAGACGTACCCTGAAACCAAACCAAACCAAACCCCTCTGCTGGAATACTTATTGACAGGGTTTAAAGGCAAATGTTTACCCACGACAGTTAAAAAGACTGGCAGGTAGTATCTGCTTCAGCTGTCCCCTGTGCTGTACCAACAGAGCAAGGAGGTTGTGGCTACAGAAATCCCGACTGCAAGTCCACCACAAGTCTCCCAAAGACGTACCCTGGTGCAGGTGCATCCTACTGGTTCGCCCAGAGGGAGGCTCAGGACAGGCCCCAGAGTGCTAGGGAGATGCTTGCTCTCCCAACCCCCACCAACGCTCCAGCTACAAGGGTATCCATGGGCTTGAATGGAGCCACTGACAGGCATTTGTGTTTTTCTTGGGTAAACACACCTAGGCAGACATTCGACACATCCACAGGACAAGTTCTACTGGAGAACAAAGCAGATCAATATAATGGCATTGAAAGTGCCCTCTAAAGATGCCCTAGTAGCTTACTGCCAATCAACAAATGGATGGTTTAAGGTCTTGGAGAAGGTGAGGGTGATTCCAGCATGGCTCCTAACAAGAAAACACATTTATATCCACGTCTGGACAAGCATTAGGTAGTCCCTCCAAATGCCACAATTGTCATATGCCCCAGAGTTATGGACAAGATTGTTTTGTCCCAGTCCCACTGGTAGGTGACCACATGCCTTCACTGCTCATACTGTCCAACCAGAAGGCTCTTTATATATGGCTGAGCCAGGACAAGGAGACTAACAAATGCAGAGAAAACCATTCAGAAACAAGAAGTCAACAATCATTGGAAATTGGCGTCTGTAATATAACACCACCAGCCTAGAATATAACAGTGGTAAGGGGCTATGCAGTGAGATGCTATCTCAGACCCTGGATGCTCTTGCAGAGGACCTGTGTTTGGTTCCCAGCACCCACACGGCAGCTAACAGCTACCTGTAACTCCAGTTTCAGGGGACCAGAGCCCTCTGCAGACACTGCATGCACATAGTGCACTTGAATACATGCACAATAAAAAAAACAATAAAAATTTTTCTTATGTGTGTGGGGGGTGGGTGGGTACATGTGAGTGTCTATGGAGGCTAGACAATCTCCTGGAACTGGAATTACAGGTGGTTGTGAGCCACTTAACATGGGTGCTGGGAACTGAACTAGAACTCTGGAAGGGCAGCAAGTACTCCTAACCACTGAGCCATCTCTCCAGCCCCTAATTTGTTCTTCTGGAAGAGTCAAGAAAAACATGGAAAAGGATCTGAGATCACAGTGTAACTTTTCTGTCTGCATTTTTTGCTTGTCTGTTTTGGTTTTTGAGATAAACTCTCACAGTGTAGCCCTGGCTGGTGTTGATCTTGAGGCAATCCTCCTGCCTCAGCCTCCTAAATGCTGAGATTACAGGCATGAACCATCATGACCAGTTCAATGCTTATGTTTTTATTTATTTGGACAGGGTCTCATGTAGCCAGGCTGGCCTCAACTTGCCATGTGGAAAATGACCTTGAATTTCTCATTCTCCTATGTAATCCCAAATCCTGGGATTACAGGCATGCTCTACCATGCATAGTTTATGTGGGCTTTATGCATGCTAGGCAAGCATTCTGCCAACTGAGCCATATCCCCAGTCCCACTCCAAGCCTTGCAGAGCAGTCCCTTCCCAGTTGTGTGCGAATGAAGGGTATCCATCTCATGTGACCAGCCCACCCTTGGGCCCCACTTCCCTCTACTCACACTGACTTCCTTTCCCAGGCTGACAGAGGCCAGCACACGCTTTACTCCTTCCCCACTTCCAATCTGCCAGATCAAGGCCTCTGCGGGCTGGTGCTTGAAGGGCCAGTCTCTCGCCTGTAGCTCATACCACACAGTCCTGTGGAGACATCTCACAGTGTGAGCTATTGGAGTTTCACAAAATGACCCCACAGGAAGCATCATGACTCTCCCACATTGGAGACTCAGTTAATAAGCAGCACAGCCATGACTCAAAACCAGGTTTGTCTCCAAAGTGTACTGTCCCAGCCCAACTGCCACCAGGGCCCTTGGACTACTTTGTCCCCAAGTCCCAGTGGCCAGCTCACCCAAATGCATAGACGTCAGCAGCTTTGGAGAAGGGCAGCTGGTCCTCATCCTTCCCAGGTGTCATCTCCCTCACAATCTCAGGGGCCAGGTAGCACAGCCAGTCGTGGGACAGCTTTAGCTGGTTCTCACGCCTGAGGGGGGACAAGGACACAGGCCCCTCAGGTGGGGGCAGGAGGCCTGACTGCACACACTTGCCCTGGGTGGGTATTTACTCCATGTGGTGCAGAGAAAACCCCCAAGTGGAGCACAGCTGAGCACATCTAGGGATGGTGACAGAGCACACCCCTGGGCTCTTCCAGGAAGGCAGGCCAAGGTTGGGACCAGCAAAGAATTGCATGACAGTGCCTGAGTCCCTCAACTGGGGGAGTGGCTGGTCTGTCCAGGACTCCGGCCTGTCCGCAGATTGCAAACCTCATGGTGGCTCTCTGGCCTAGCTGTCACTCTTCCTTGTCCCCCGCCCCCATATGTATGGAGAAGCTGTCTTTGCCCCTTACTCCCGCCCCTTTTTAATCACAGGAAGTAAAACCTGAAGTTCTTCCTCATCAAGGGGACATGAGCCCGGTCCCTCATCCTCTGTGGGGATTCGCCTGGGAATTCAGTGCCACAACAGACCTAAACATCACCTAGACCCAACTCCAGACTGGAATCATAAGGGTAAAGTCACAAGCCAAAGTAACCTGGCCTTCCGTGCAGGGAAGGCTGCTCTCCCACAACACAGTTTGGGGAACCCCACACCCATTCAGTGCCCCCAGATCCTCCTGACCCACCCAGACACCCATGGCCCACTCACCGCTCCTCCCGGACGACACCAGAGATCCCAAACAGCCCAAAGTCTGTGATGACCACCTTGCCATTGTCATAAAAGACGTTCTTGGACTTGAGATCTTTGTGTACAATGCCCTTGGCATGAAGATACCCCATGCCCTGGAAGAGAGCCAAGCTTGCATCAGGGGGAAGGTGAAGATAAGAGGTGGAGACTGGGCTTCTATCCAGGGCTAGGTACTGGGCTGGACACTTTACCCATCCCCTCATTTAATCTTCATAATTCTAAGGATACTACCCATTTCTTATAGATGAAGAAACTGAGGCTCAAAGAGGGAAAATGACTAATCCCAAGTCACACAGCAGTTAAGGACAGAGTTCAGATCAGACTTCAAGCTAGTTCATGCTCTGATGATAAATAGCCACCTCAGACTTGAGTAAGGTACAAGGTGTAGACAAGGTGGCTGGTGGAGGCAGGGAGGTCAAGGAGTATAAAGATCAGTGCTATTGGCTGGAGATGTAGCTCAGTGGTAGAGTGCATGCTTATTAGCATGCACAAGGTCTTGGGTTCAATCCTCAGCACGGCCAATTAAAAAAAAAAGATTAATGACACCACCTGGGTTATGGCATGAAAGGCTCGAATGAGCTGGGGTCTCTCTCAGGAGTTGCCTAGCTCATTTGTGCACTCAGGCAGGGCAAGCACTTGGGGGGCGGAACAGAGACACCTTTCTCAGGAGGGTCTCTAAATTTGGGCGTGTCCCACATGCACGCTGTGGTAGCAGGAACCCTGATGAAGCTTAGCCTGGGTTTCAAGCTCCATCGCCACTCAGATTCCTACACCATGCAGCTTTGGGCAAGGTGCATAGCCTCTCTGAGATTCTGCTTCCTCATCTATCAGGTGAAAGGTAGTGGTGTGTCATTTCGAACAGCCACTGTCTGGACTGACTACTGATGATGAGCCAGGTGCATGGATCATGTGACCCAACAATGTGATCTCATTCAAGGTCACAGCTGCCTTTAAACATCAATCCCAGGATTCCTAAGATTCTTGGGGGGGCACCACGCCCCTGGGAGAAGATGCCATAGTGGAAAGGGCCTCTCTAGGAGCAGAGGAAGCCTACCTCCCAGCCTCTACATTCTGCTCAACACTGTCTGCAGAAATCTCCCTGGTTATAAACGAGCAAGGGGAGGAAGGGGACATCTACAGACAAACAAGAAAACAGAATCAGTCACAAGACAGAAATCCAGACAAAAATCCATTTCCCAGGTCAGGGCATAAGCCTTCCCCAGTGTGGCCAGGGTGGCAGACTCCACTGTGGGCTGGCTCAAGGACCCTGAGTGCAACTAAGGACAAGCAGTGGTATTCCTGAATCTTATTTGTATTGCAGATGTTCAACTGGGTTTAGCAGGACCCACTTGTAATCCTAGCACTTAAGAGATGGAGGCAGCAGTTCCAAGTGATACATCAACAATGAAACCTCTACACATAAAGCTCAAGGAACATAGTGGAACAAGGATTACAGAGAATACCAATACATCTCTCAACTCTCACCAGTGAAGCTTCCTCATACAACAGAGGGCGATGAACACAGACGGCCATAACTGGCCAAAGTATAGAGAATAAGAGACTGCAGAGTGTATGTCCCTGGATACAACTCCTTATATTCTAAACCTCACCCACGCAGGGCTCAGGGACCATTGCGGAAGAGGGGGTGGAAAGATTATGGGCTGGTACATGACCAAAAAGAAACAGAATCTTACAAGCCCTGGGAACTTGCTCATATGAACTTACAAAACACGCACAACACCCATGCAAACACAATCAGATAAAAACTAGCATAGAACTGGGGAAATGGGAAGAAGGCTCCAACCTTAGCTGAGGAACTATTGGCAGCTGATCACTGCTGGGTGAGGGAGAGTTGCTCTTCTTGAATGGAGGGATGCTAGATAGACTGACCAGGCTCCAGTGGATGAACTCACACCAAGAGACAACTGGGTACACAAACTTGACTTGAGAGGCTTTAACATATAAGACAGAATGCATGAAATCCTGTGGGCAAGGCTATGGGTAGGGTGCAGATAGGAGAGATCTAAATATGATTAAAATGTATTGTAGGAAATCTAGGAAATTTAATAAAAAATATATGCTGGAAAAAAAAAAAAGACCCAGAAGTTTAAGGTCATCCCCAGCTATAGAGTGAGTTTTAGAATAGCCTAGGTTACATGAAATCCTGTCTCAAAACAAAACCAAGCCACTCAAATAAACAAAACACAAGTATGACAGTCTGAAAAGGCCAGGTTGAAGATACAAACTACTGAGCACAGGATGGCCAACAATCCTCCTTTCCAGGGTTCCTACAATATAGGCAGCATGCTTGCCCTTCCCCAAACCTTGTCTCCATACCATGCCCATCCTCTCATCAAAGGCCCCTTCTACTATGACCCTCAAAGCATCAGAGATCACTCCGTAAAGGAAGTGACCCTGGGCCCCCAGAGGGAAAGTGGAAGGTTTTCAGCAGGGAGGAAACATGTAAGGACCTGAGAGGTGAATCTGCAGCTCCAAAGCCTTTGAGTCACTTTCTTCCTGGGCCCTAGAAGTGACCAATGGCCTTAGTGTGACTCAGAGGGTAGCTTCTGGTTCTGAGGGGGAAGAGTGGGACTCAGGTGTGGGGAAAATGGAGCGGAACCCTCTGCGGCTCCTGTCAGCCTCTGAAAGACCAAGGACCACAGCAAAGGTAGAGGTGGGACCTTTGGGCTTTGGTCTTAGAAGCTTAATTCATTAGTTTGGCCACGGGAAAGTGGATGGAAATTCTAGCTGGTCCACAAATCCCACTGTGACCTTTATCTTTTCCTTCCTGAAGACGTTTATACACAAAATGGATAGGAGGAGGAGGAAGGAGAGATCAGAATGGAAGGCCAGAGAAGGAGAGACAAAAGGTAAACTGTGACAAAGCTCGTAAGAGGCAGCTTTTCTCTTTTGAGACAGTGTTGCATGCAGCCCAGGCTGGCCTCAAACTCGCCATGTAGCCAAGGATGATCTTGAACCTCTGATCCTCTTGCTTCCATGTCTCAAATGCTGGGATTTCAGATGTGTATAGCTGTGCCAGGTTTATATGCTGCTGGGGATTGAACCCAGGGCTTTGAGCATGCTAGGAAAGTGTTCTACCAACTGAGTTAATCCACATCCTACAAGGAGGAGGCTTTTCAACAGTTTTTTAAAAAGAAAAGAAGACAAGAAGTCCTATTTACTAATATTCTAGATTTTCTGTTCTGTTTACTTTTGGAGATAGGGTTTCCTTTTTTATGTAGTCTAGGCTGGTCTCAAACTCTCAATCCTTTTGCTTCAGACTTTCAAGTGCTGGGATTGTATTTGTCACACTTGGCTTTTTTTCCCTTCTAGTTTTTATAAAGCAACAAATAAGCCTTTCTCTCGCTTTCCTTTAACTACTTTTTAAAATGAAGAAAGAATGGTTAAGAACTGCCTATGCTGAGCCAGATAGCCTGCTTTCAGGAAATCCAAAGGCTTTTTAAAAAGTGTGGGTCTTTTTGTGGCCCAGAAGTGAAGTTCCTTGTCCCCCATAACTAATCCTAAGAAACCCTCACCAAGTGCCAGTCATGTACCAAACGCTCTCTGCATAGACAACTGTGTTCTGTCTCTGCTCTGACCCAATAAGAGAGGTGGTACTAGTATTTCCATTTTACAAGGGAGGAAGCTGAGGCTCAGAGAAGCTGAACAACCTCCCCAAGGTCACACAGCTGGTGTGACCAGGAGCAAACCTAACTGTCTTTGGAACCTGCGAAGTTCCTCTACAACTAATTCAGTTCTATCAACGCTGACCACGTGGAGGGCTCTGGCTCTGAGTGGATGAGACAGGGACCAGGCTGAGATGTCCCAGCTTTTGAAGGAGACAGAGCAGCCATAGACATCTGATATAGGCAGAGCGACAGGATGAAGAGCAAGAGCTTTGGAAGCATCTGGACGCCCAGTTCCCCAGCCCCGCCTTTACCTTGATGATCTCCTGAGCAATCTGCCTCGTCTTGTTAATATCCAGAGCTGTCTTCGGGTCTCTCACAAACGAGTGCAATGTCCGACCCTTGCAGAAGCTGTCGAGGGTATTGGGGTTTGGTAAGATGCTTGAAGCTGGTGCTGGTTGACCCCATCCCTATGGAACCCGTTGGGGGAACTGTGCTTATTTGCTTCTAGAAGGGTCTCTACCCCAACCAACATAAGCCAAGGAACATGTGTTCTTCAACATGCCTGAGCCCACTTCTGCTGGCCCTCCCTGTACGAGGAAACACAGCTTACTCACACTCTTAGACATTCAGGGCAGGGCAGACCATCTTCACAGGGTCATGGAAGATATGAGCATGTAAACTCGGAAGGGAAAGAACTCGGCTTTTGGGATTATCACAAGGCCACATGGAGGCTTGGAGGCTCACCACAAATATTATCATTTTTATAACCCAGGGGTTTTTTGCACAATAAAGGAGCATGAGGAGAAGACAGTGGGATGGCCATCAGGGCGTCAGAGTGATTAGGGGAAAAGGAGTTTGTATTGTGGGATTGCCACCTGCATCATCTTCTAGGGTTCAGGGTGAGGAAGGTCCTGGGGGAGGGTGTATGGTCTATCGCTGCCTGTTCTGGGAAAAGCAGACAAACCAACACAGAGGGCATTTTAGGAAAGTCTCTTGGAGGTAGGACTGTGGTGTCTCAGAGACTGAGAGCCAGGAAAGGTATATGGCATGCTGGCTGATGGCTGGGGTCTGGTCCATGTTCTGTCTTCCTCACCATCACACTCTGTTGTTAGTGGATGCTTGCTGTGTATTCTGAGTGATACCTGTGAGCCTCTGGTCTGTGTATCCCCTTCACTGATGTCAATCTCTTCCAGAATCGGGTGCTTGAGTGAGAGGAAGACTGACGGACAGCAAAGGGGGCCCAGGGGACCAGCTGTCCTGCTTTGGGTTGGAATTTTATAAAGCTAGTCACTGAACCCCAGTGACCTGATACTGTCCAAGAGCTCTTTATCTCTGAGAAAAACGGAAATTTTTACTTGTTCATTGCACTGAGAAGAAAAACGGTTTCTGTTGTTTCCTTTTCGGTTGGTTTGCTTGTTTTTCCCAAAGCACAGGGTGCAGTGCAGGGTGCTCAGCAGAGTGCTAATGAGGGTGCTCTTGGTTTCATGGAGTTAAAGTCACTTCTTTTAGGTTCCTGAAACTTCTGTGTATATTCTAGAATTTTAAAAATGATCTTATAGTCCTTTCTTAGTTTATTTATTTATTAAGACTGGGTCTTATTTACTTATTTGAGACAGGGTCTTTGTTTGTTTGTTGAGACAGGGTTTCCCTGTAGCCCCAGCTGGCCTGGAACTCACTAGGTAGACCAGGCTGGTCTCCATCTCACAGAAATCCGCCTGTCTCTGCTTCCTGAGTGCTGGGATTTAAAGCGTGTGCCACCGCACCTGGCTTGATTTTATTTTTAAAAAATTTTTATTGTTCATTTTTGTGTGTGGTGTGCATGCACATGCCATGTACATACAAGGGTGTATGCCGGTACATGTGGCCAGCACAGGAGGACACGAGCTGTCCCGTTCTAACACCCTGCCTTGCTCCTCTGAGAAAGAATCCCTCACGGAACCTGAATGTTGCACTGGCAAGCCCAGGGATCCTTCTGTTTCTGCCCCTCCATAGTGCCAGGGTTACAGGTGAACGTGTGCCCACATGGCTTTTTAAGTGGGTGATGGTATCTGAACTCAGTCCTTAGGCTTGCCCAGTAAGTGCTCACACCACTGAGCCATCTCTCCAGCCCTTTCTCTGATTTTAAGAGTACACATATGTCTTAAACATCATAGTCAAACTGTTTCCGGGTTACAGCCCTGCTGTACGCGGAGGGTGACAGTGAGTCAGGGAGCATGTCCTGGAGTAGAAACAAGCAATGCACATCAAAATGTCAGGGCAGGGATACAGTTCAGCATACAGTGCTCACCTAGAATAGACAAGGTCAATCCACAGCACCACACAAACAAAATGTAGACCGTAGGCGACAAACGTGCAGTGTGAACCAGCGTCCTTAGCTAGGCATCTTTTAAAAATTAAATTACATTTACTTATTTTGTGTGTGTGGGGGGGTGGCACAGCATGTGTGTGGAGATTAGAGGACACCTTGAGGCAGTCAGCCCTCTCCCTCCACTCTGGGTTCTGAGGGTCCACCGTCAGGCTTGTGGGACAAGTGCCCTTACCCACCCATCTCACCAGCTCAAACTGCTTTATTTTATAATGAAAGGAATACTGAGATTAACCACACTCACTTTTGGGGGTGGCGGGAAAGCCCCCAGGCAAAGATGGCAGGAGAGTGATTTCTGTTTAGTATCTTTTATGGAACATTGGTATGTTGTCTATCCTTTGAGGTGGTCTCTTTTTGCAGAGGGGAGATAGGGTCCCACTACACAGCTTAGGCTAAGTCTCAAACTTAAGAGCTCTCTGCCTCTGCCTCCAGGTGCTAGGATTACAGGTGTATGCTGCCACACCCAGCTGTTAATTTTAATGTCACTGGGCTGTGGGAATGGGGAACCGATACCCATCTTTAGCCTTCTGGGATCCTCTCTCTTCCATATTCTCTAGGGAATCCACCCCACAAACAGGCTGAAGGGATGGGGAGGCTGTGCTGACTATGGACCCAGGTCGGGGGAGAGGGACTGCTTACCTGGTGATGATGGCCAAGTGGGGTGGATTCATACAGGCTCCCATGAAGAGCACCACATTTTCATGCCGAGTCTGCCGGTAGTTCATCACCTCTTTCTTGAACAGCTTCAGATGGTCCTGATTGTGGCCATCCATCTCCAGCAGCCGGATAGCCACTTCGCCGTGCCAGCGGCCCCGATGTACCCGGCCCCAGCGGCCCTGCCCGATGGGCTCACCCAGTTCCACTTGCTCAAAGGGGATGTCCCATTCCTGCAGGTACACGCTGGTCTGGCTGGCCTTTCGAGAGATGGGGCCCCGCCAGGGCCGGCGGGAGCTGGGTAGATCATCCACCTCATCCTCATCGTCTTCTGCCTCTGACTTGCCAGCCTCTGGCTCCTCAGCCTGAAAGGAGGGCAGGAATGAACGGAGAGGGGAATAGGTCTGGCTCTTCTCTTCCTGGAGCCCCAGCCAGGCACCACCACACTTGGCACCCTTCTGGTTGTCTCCTGTCTGAACTTCTAATACTTCCCCTGGGTAGCACTAACATTTCTTAAGTCACACTGCTCTGCAAGGACCCAGGCTTAGTTCATCCTTCTGTTTGAAGGTCAAGACAGTGGATAGGGTCTCATGTAGACCGGGTCGGTCTCCAATTTGTTATATAGCCAAGGGTGACCATGAACTTTGAATCCCCGTCTCTATCTCCCCAAGTGCTGGAGTTACAGGCATGTACCGCCATACCCAATTAAGATGAAAATAGTGGTCCTCGACCATAGGGCCAATAGGCATCACCTGGTAAGCTCTGCCAACTTAGAGATGCTCCCAGGCCAGGGCCCAGGTCTGTGGGCTGGGAGTGAGGACCAGCTTCCTTTGGTCAGTGAAAGTGAAAGGAAGCTGCTCCTCGTACTTCACACTGTTCTCTCCGGCTATGCCTATTTGCCCACACCTGTGGCAGCAGGCTCAGCAACCTCGTTCCCCTAACCCCTGTACACATGAAGAAGGAAGGAGAGAGGAGCAGCTGTCCTGGGTCTCATGCATGTCACCCCCACTCACCTCTGCTTCATGAACCTCCAGCACATCTGCTTTAGGCTGGTCATCAAGCCTAAGAATGAAACAGGCTTTGTCAAGAAGACCCTGGGCTGGGCAGGGGCTGCCCTGGGTGAGAATGAGGGGTAGGTAGTTACCACCCCAGCCTCTGCAGTACAGGGTGCAGGGCACATGCAGGAGCTGGGTCCCAGAGTCCTGCCTTTGAGACAGGTGTCATCTTCTTCCTGTGTGGCCATGCGCAACGAACCCCTCTAAGGGGCCTGCACCCTCTGGGATACTTATGTCACTGGCTGAGGACTGAGGGACCCCAGAGACAAGCATTATTTTTAGCTGATCTCTAAGTTTGACCCTTGTGTCTACCTCCTAGGTCACAAGCCTGCTGTACATGCACACCCAGTCACTGACAGAAAGCAGATCAACCCCTAGTCCCAAAGGGTACATCGGCCCTGTTCTGCACCAGGCTGACCCAGACGGAGAGGGTCAGAGATTTAGGGATGGAGTGGGAGGTGGTTGAGGATTTGGGTCCGGTCTCAACGAGTCCCTGGGAAGAGAAAGAGACTCAGCATAGGGTGCATACCGTGTGCTGTCGGCTGCATTGGGGAGCGGAGATGCCTGTGGAAAGGCCGAAATATCTAAAGGAAACAAAGAACAGGAACAAAGTATGAGACCACTTTCCTGTGCCCCCAAAGACACCAGTCTGGAGCTCAGCACGCCAGGGACCCCACCTCTCCCCTGAGTAGCGGCCACTGTGCCCCAGGCCACTTCCATGGGGACCAGTTTGTGCTCGTCTCTAATCTGACAGGGACTTAGCCTCTACAGTGATGTTTTTAGTCTATATAGCTGTCCCAGGCAGAGGCTCTGAGTGGGTGACCTTAAAGAGATTCTAACAGTTAATACCACTTGTCCTTGGATCAAATGACCCCACAAGCAAATGGCAAAAGCGAACGGTGTCTCAGCAGAGGGTCCTTCTGGTGGGAGGCCAGGTTGGCCATCACTTTTTGAAGCAGGGATACCCCTTGCCTAGTGTTGGGGCTGGTAGCTCTGTGGTGACACCTGGTTCCTAGTGCAGTTGCTGGGAATTTTCGGAGTGAGGTCCTGCCCCGACTTCTAGAACTGGGTGGCTGGTGTCACAGCTCTGGGGGAGAAAAGGAAATTCACAGTCCATGCACCTGGAGGCCCCAGGCTGGGCGGCTGCTGACCCCTGGATTGCAAGTGGTCCCAGTTATAGTATAGAAAGACCCACCTCTAGGGACACCAGAAAACGGATGGTCTCCCTGGAGTGGAACCGACGTGCTACAAGAGGGGTGGTGGCATGGAGTCCGTGTGCCTCTCTCTCAGCAAAAAGAGAGACAGGAAGTGTCAGTGGGTCAAGCTATCAGCAGCCACTTTCCTGTCCTAGACAAAGACCCTCCTTGTTGCTCAGCCATCAACCCTCCCTTAACCTCCTTCACTGGAGGGTTTTCTCCACAGCTGCCTCCCAGGGTCAGTGGATCCAGAATCTGATAGAGTCATGTTCTTATCTGGACTATACACACATGTGCCCAACATCCTGTGCAGTTTCAGGGGACCCTGGTCTCTAGCCTCTATCACATCATCTTTACAGACTGCTAGCGGCAGCTGGTATTTTCACACAGTAGTTACATGTGCTCAGACTGTTGGGGTTGAGGCAAATGTCTGGGAAGGTTCCTACTTGCCTTTAAAAGTTAAGAGCCTGTTATGCATTCTGCTCCCAAATGTGTTGGTGTTTACTTCAGTTAACGGGGCCTTACCCCCATCTGCAGAGCAAAATAGGCCTTTGAGGAATAAGTCCTATGGTTTCCCCATTTTGGGGACACTGTTGTACATATCCTAGAGCTGGTAACTAGGAAAACTCTTGGAAGGAATCATAGCAAAAGGGGCAGATCCCCCAGGCCCCTGGCTGTGGGCAGCCTGTACACACCTGAGCAGAGCCATGGGGATAAGGACTCCTGATGGCTCCAAGTCAGTTTCTGAATGGAGCTGAGCTGGGAAACAAAAGCCTGGAATAATCAAGACACTGGGGCTTCCAGACAGTCTTTGCAAACCAAAGAAAAGACAATTAGCTACAGCTATCTAAAACATCCAGACCCACAATGTTGGCTACCTTCAGCAGGAGAAAAAAAGTACTGATCTTATAAACTCTTTAAGGGGGCAAAGAAAACGGTCAAATGCAAAGGTGTGCAAAATAGTTTCGCAGAAGGGAATCCTGGGTTGTCTTATTTAATTGCAAGTTCTTCCTTTAAATGTTCTGCAACGGGGAGGCAATTCCAGCAATGGCCTGCAGGTGGCACTGTGCGGTAAAGCTGGGAAAGGCAAAACCTGCTGACATGAAGCCTACAAGACTTTGCCAAACTGGCTTCCACTTCTGTAATACAAACATCTCCTTGTCATTATGTGGGTGACAGATGCTCTCAAGGCATCAGCAAACAGCCCTCTCTCCTCATTCTATAAACCTGGGTTCTAGGTTCTAGTCCTGCTTCTGCCACCTCCTGGCAGTGTGACCCTGAACAGTTCCATGCAGTCTCTGTGAAGAGGCTGGACAGGATGGACTCCAGGGTCCCACCCAGCAAGGCATTGCCCACCTAAAGGTCCACCTCCAGGATCTTTGCCCTTCCCTCTTGCCCAGCCACAGTGGACTCAAGCACTTGGGGAGAGGGCACCAGGCAGGATGGATAGGGGGTCACAGCAAGGGGCAGTGAGTGGACCCATGCATAAGACTCACCTGGAAAGATAAACTGCTGTCTATGATGAATGAAGTAGGCAGCTTTAAACAGAAGAGGAGGTGAGTCACACAGTGCAAACGCAGCAGGGGAGGAGGGGTGCATGTGCTGGGGGTGGGGGGCAGGAATTGGTCATTGGTTGAGGTGGCCCTGCCCCAGGGGGCTGATGAGGATAGGCGGAGCCATGCAGGGAGAAGAAACAAAGCTAGAAGAAAATCAGGGCTGTAAGAAGCCCAGGAGTGGAGGGGCTACACTGAAGGATGATCTGGACCATCTCAGTGGGCCACTTGTTCCAGAGCCCTGACTGGTGCTCACTGAGAAAAGCTTGGGCCACTTCTGTTCTGGAAAATACACATGAGGCTAAGACAGAGTAAGGTAAAATAGTGGTGCTGACAATTCGACAGTGTGTGTGTACTGAGCCTCCTCCTTCCCATCAGTCCACCTTCACGCTGAAACACCTTGACCACCTCACTTGACTCTGGATCCTCCTGAGTGCTGAGATTACAGACAGTGCACTACCACATCCCAGCTGTTTTGTTTTTGAGGTAATGTTGCTTGCTATGCTGCCTGAGCTGTTCTCTAACACATGGGCTCGGTTCTCCTGTCTTAGCCTTCCAAGAGTTGGAACTCCAGGTGAATTTAACCTCAATTCTACCTATGCAAGGGTCTGAAACCCAGGGAGGTGGTTAGCTTCCAGTGCCTCACTGTAAGTGTGGGAATACATAAGCTTACCCAAGCTTGCCCAGGAAGGTCAACCTCAAGGCTCCTGGGCAGCATAGGGCAGGTGTGTGGCAGGAGGGCTTCAAGTTCCTTCATGAGATTAGTATCCTGCCTGCCCATCCCAGTCTACAAGGGGTTTGCCCCACGGGTCTGCGAAGATCTATAGGGGGCAATGAGGGTCCAGCCCTCCCACCTAAGGGGACATATCTGTGAAAGTGGACAGGGTTTGGTTGATATTATAAAGGTGATCTTTTCTGTATCTGTTGTCTTTTCAAACGGTCCCTTTATAGAAAAGTCCAAACTAGATGGTTTAGTAAAAGAGACTTATTCAGAGAATAAAGGCATAACAGAATGGAAGAGGAGGTTAATTCAGGAGCCATGGCTTAATCGCAAGGAGGGGCAGTGTGCCTGACACAGGTGTCATTAAGAGAGCTCCAGCCATGTGACTATTAAGGCACAGGAACAAGCAACACAAGAGTCCCAAAAGGAATCCCGGGGTCCCCGAGATATGGGTTCAGAGGCTGTTGGGCCAGCTGCCAGCTGTGTACGGCCCCAGTGTGGGTCCACCAGCACTGGAGAGCTGCATCTCTCTGTTCTCCTGGGCCTAGAGCTCCAGGGACCAGAGACAGGGGGCCTGACCTGGACCCACAGGCTGGAGAGGGCAGATGGTCTACACCGAGCATCAACAAATAGGAACATTACAATTTCCCCTTTCCTCTCAGTCTACAAAACTGGGTAAGCCCAAGGCTGAGACTGACAGAAAGGGATGGGCCTTGCCAAGGACACCAAGGCAGCAGCTCAGTGCCCCCTGGGCGAATGGGCTTAGCCCTGCTCCCTGGAGAAACTACAGCAGAGCTAGCCAGAAGTTAGGTAAGGAGGAGCAGGGGCTGCAATCCTGGCTTCTCACTGCAGCCCCTGGGCAGCTGGGTATATGCATGACATCGGAGGGCAGCTGGTGCTCAGCTCTGCTCCACAATAGCTGCCCTGGGACTCAATGTCTTCACCTGTACAGTGGGACCACCTCATTCTAACTCCCTATGGTCTGTATCATAAGTGAAGGAGTCTGAGGTCTTCTATGAGCAGCCAACCCCCAAGACAGAGTTGGTAGACACCAGGGCCCCAATGCCCTTGCCTAGGTCTTGTTTCCCACGCTGCCTGCCACATTAACCAAGAGCTGAGAAGCCAGCCCTGACAGAGATGATGCTAGCGGGGGAGAAAAAAAGTCACTACAAGCAAGCATAGGAGGTCAGCCTCGGGGGTTACCCTGAGAATCCAGGCTCAGTGTCAGAGACTTGGGTTTGGTCCCGGATCTGCTATTCATGGACTATACAACTCAGAGCAAGCCACTCCCTGGCTCTAAACCCCAGCATCTCCATCTGTAAGATGGGTACAATATCAATCCCAGAGCTACTACACTTGAGACACTCAGCAAGAACTCCATAGGCTCAGCTCTCAGTGGCAGCATTATCTTGAACTGGCCAGGTTTGCCAAGGGGGAGAGGGTCGGAGGGCAACCTTGAGGATCTAGAAAAGCTTGAGGCATGGTACCTGGGAAGTTGAATCTGCTGTCCCGCTGGCCAGGTGAGGGGTTGGGGGGCGTGGTAGCACTGGAGGGGTTAGATGAAGTTTGGAAGGGTGCTGGAGACGAGGGCGTGGAGGATGTAGTAGAAGACGGGTTGCTGCTGGAGTCCAGGTTCATGACTGGAGGGTGTTCCTGCAGGACCAGAGATGCTAGGATGAACAGGGCTGCAGGCTCTGCCCAGCAGATACCCACCTATTGGGGCCTTCCCTCTCTTCCTTCCTCCCTCCCATCTTCATGGGTAGAGGCCATCCCAGGGGATCCTTGGGGCCCTGCTCTGTAGCTCTAAGATCTTCTGGATGGAAAGGGGACACAGAGACCCTTCCCTAAAGGACTCTTGCCCACCTCTCTTACTTCAGTTCACCGCCGCCCTCCCCCCCGCCCCCCAGAAACCCATCTGAACCCTGCCTGGGACTATGTTCTTCCTCTTTATCCTTCCATGGCTCTCAGCAGTTCTCTATCTAGCCATCTTAATGTGTAGTTTGTCAGCTGCAGACATCCTAGGCTAGTTTGCTGATGCCCATCTCGCCTACCCCAGGTCTACCTGGCTCTGAGCTGGACAGACAGTAGTTTCCTAATGAATTAAATTCAGACTCTGACCAAGGTTAATACCCTGTCTGTTATATGCCAGGCCCTCTGCCGGGAGCAGAGATAATAATGAACAAAGGTATTGGGTTAGTGGTTTTGTAATCTTGTCCTAAAAGTTCAAGAGACTCTGGAGACCCCACAAAACCCCCAAAGAGGCAACAGCTTGTTTGTCATCTTGGAAGGTTAAGAATTCTGGAGTCGGTTGGTTGGGGCTGTAACTCAGCTGGTACAGTTCTTGCCTAGCATGCATGAAGCCTTGGGTTTGATCCTAGGACTGTATAGAAACTGGGCAGAGTGGCATAGGCCTATAATTCCAGCACTCAGAAGGTAGAGGCAGGAAGATCAGGAAGTCAGAAGTTCAAGGTCATCCTTGACTACAAAAAGAGTTCAAGGCCAGCCTGGGATACACGAGACTATTTTTTTTTTTTTTAATTCCAGAGCTGGAAGGAAGCTTCTAGAAGATGACCCCAGGAACTGGTTCACACTTGTTGTCATGATTTAAATGTTAATGCCATTTCCTTTCCAAGCATGCATAGCTCCTTAAATTACATCAGGCTAGCCAGTGCTTGCCAGGGGACATATACATGTTTAGTTGCCAGGGGATGACTTTGGGGAGGTCTTAGGCCACAGCTGGGAGGACACTTGGTCAGAGCTGGGAGCACTGCCCTCACCTCTCACTCTGCAGGAAGGCTCCCAGCACTGAGGCTTCCTCATGCAGAATTCGGGCGGCAGGCTCAAGCCTTGGGCAAGCATGAGTCAGAATGAAACAGCTTCATTTTAATGTTGTTTATTTATGTGCTGACGCCTGCAGGCTGGAGGTCGACAGTGTCTTCCTCTTCGCTTTCCACCTTGTTTTCTGAAGTACGGTCACTCACTGAACATGGAACTCACCGATCTGGCTAGACTGACTGGCCAGCAAGCCTCAGGATCCTCCTGTCTCTACCTCCACAGCACTAGGATCACAGGTGCGCCACCCTAGCTAGCTTTTTATGTGGGTAGTGAGCATCAAAACTCAGGCCATCTTCCCAGTCCCAGTGACATTTATTTTACTAACTACCTTCTACCTATGGGAAGTGCCAAAGGAGTTCATCTAATTATGATAATGATGATTCCAAAAAAGTGAGTTCTAGTCAGTAAATGAGCCCAGGATGTACTGATTAGGATAGAACTAGGTGAATCGTTTGCAGCTCCAAGTGTGTAGCAGGGGATTCAGATGATTCCAGGGAGTCTGCAGACAGGGAATGTTGCCTGCAAAGGGGGTCAGTGTAATGGGGGTGGGGAGGAGGCCCAAGCTCAGCTTCCGAATGCAGCTTCACGGGGGAGCACCAGATCTGATGCAGAATGTCTCAGATTCCCACCAGGGTTCTACCTTTTCTTAGTTGGAGGACTCTGGACAACTTTTTGACCTCTCTGAGCTTCCATATCCTCAGCCACACAACGGAAAATCAGCACTTAGGCCAAAGGGTTACTGAGTGAATCTGCGGTATAATGAAGGCAAGTACACAGTAGACAGCAGATATCTAATGCTTGCTCCATTCTATAGACCTGCTGTCTTGAACCTAACAGTGCTTGGGATAGTGGAGCTCTAACAAGGCCAAAGGGCCCCTAGAGCTCTGGCTCCAGGGGTACTCTGGGTTGGGTTGTCTGAAGATCTGGTCCAATGTCATTATCTCCCAGGGCAGAAAGAAACTCCTTGGTCAACAGGGCCAAACTGCTTAGTACCAAATATAACAAGTTTTCCTCTTACAAGACTTAAGGCTGGGGGTGGCAATACACTTTGGAACCCATCAGAGCTGAAGTTGGCCTTGCTGGCCAGGACAGCTGGTCTCACATGGTGCCAACTGAGTAGGCAGGCTAGACCCACTGAGCCTTCTCTTTTCCTGCTTCTAAGTCCTGTTCCAAGACTCCAGACCCCCTCAGCAGGCCTCATCATCAAGGCCAGGCCTGAGCAGGAGCAGTGGAGGGCGAACCATAAGCGCAAGCTGAGCCTTTCTGTGCACTTATGTTGCCCTGGAAACACTCCCAGCCTCTCTGAGCTGCAGTGTGTCATCCATAGAATGGGCAGCAATGGCTAAAGAAAGGGTCAGAGAGAAACAGACCCTTTGGGGTTGCTTAGACTATGAGGGAGGAGTCTTTGTAAATGGAGTCAGTACCTGTATCAATGAGGCCACAGCGAAATACAATGAAGAGGCACCATCCATGAAGAATACAGGCCTGTTTCCTCATCTATGAGGGTCGATTGAAACCCCAGCGGGAAGGTTCCTGGCACAAAGGAGGCTCTGAGGAAACGCTGCCTCACAGATGCAGAGGGCATGGGAACCACACAGCATACCATTTCGATGTGGACAGAACCATGCCACCTGCTTTCTGGTTAAGCCAGGACCCCCGAACCACTCCCAACAGATCCTGGACTGCAGTGCCATGTTTTTTGCTTGTCTTGTTGAAGGGTGTTCTTCAGGAAGGAATCCAGGGCCAGGGATGGCAGGGTTCCCTGACAAAGCACAGGCGTAGGGCACTGTCAGCTTACCTTCTTTGTTAGTGCCTTGGGGAGGGTTCCAAAATGGGGCTCTGTTGCTCTGTCCACTGGATTGTTGATGTCCGAGGGAACAGACTCTGTCCTCCGAAGTCTAGCTACTGTTAGGAAAGGAGGGAATCCATTAGCAGGAACAGAAGTCACTGAGATGCATCCTGATTCCGGGGGGAGGGGGGCGTGCTGGCACTCACATGGAAGGAAGGATATTCTACAGGCAGGGGCTTCTTTTGTACATTTGTTGTGACACTTCAACCTGCAAAGGAAGCAGAGTCATGCTCAGAGGTGACAAGCATGTCACCAACATTGCCTGGGCAGCCCTGTGGTGGCCTCAGTCTCCACAAAGCTCTCAACATACCAAAGTACACAGGACCCCACATACTGAGCAGCAGCAGCTACTGTCTGCTGAGCTAATGTAGGTTCTGTGCCCTCAATGGTCAGGGAACAATGGGCTGCCTCAGGCCTCTGCTCACTCTGTCATTTGGCTACTTTCCTGTTCTAAACAAAGGGGACCTAGGGCTGGGGACACAGGTCAGTGGCACAGTGTTTGTCCGGCATGCACAAGGGCCTGGGTTCAATTCAATTCTACAGTTATTCAACCCCCACCCCAAACTTATTCCTCCACTTCTAGAAAAACTGAGGCAAATTTGACATGACAAGAAACATTAGAGTGAGAATGTCAACACCACCAAAGGGCTCCAGGGACCCCCAAGAATAGCCTCTGCATCCAGGCATTGGCTGCACAGCCAGGAACAGAAAGAGCTGAGTTCTCCTTTGGGTCCAGCCAGCTGGCTGTACAAGGTCCCTGTGTTCCTGCCAATGGAATGGGATGATGAGGTGTTCTACCAAGCTCCCACTACAACTGCAGGACAGTGTGGAGCTCAAGGGTCATCCTGTGCCAGCCACACCTGGATAGGAGCTGAAGATCTCATTTACAGCTAATTCCAAGAGCCCAGGAGGTCAGGAGGTCCTCAGAGGTCAGGGAGAGTCATCTGGTGATTTTCATGAGACCTGCCATCTCAGGTTTCACTACAGCCCAGGGAGGGGTCACTCACACCAGTCACATTTTCTGAGCAATCCCAAGCGATGTCTAATTGGTAAACATGAAGCCCAGAAATGGCAAGTGCCTTGCCCCAAGCAATGCCAGGGCTACAGCAGCTGGGAACTGAGACTCCAGGCCACCTTCCATAAGGTATGTGGGCAACCAGACTGCGGATGACAGACTGCCAGCCCTGGCTGTTCCCTATCCATGTCCTTTCCCACAAGAAACCACAATGCTGCAATACGGCAAAGCTGGGTTGGTATAAAAATCAACATTCTCTCCTCACTCTCCTTTTAACACTGCTGGTCCCTGTTGCCCCTCTCTTGTGCTAAAGTGTAATGTTAAACTGGTTTAAATTTTTTATAATTTCCTGGTTCCCAGAACAACTCTCACTTTCTTCTTTGCCTTTGAATCTTTCCCCCTTGCTCTTCCTAGTAGACTGCTTATTCTTCCAAGTCCATCTCAATACTCCCTTCTTCTAGGAGTACCTCATTTCACCTCCTTAGAGTCCTGAGCGCACTGCTGTGCCCAATGAGATTATGAATTGTCAGGTTAGATTTCAAGTTGACTTAACATAAGACCAAGAATGAAATAATGGGGCTGGTGACACAGGACAAGTGTCTCTGCTCCCTCCCACCGCCATCACCTGCAGTGTTTGCACTTCACTCCGAACATCATGCTCTTCTGGCACACATTGCAGACCTGTGACAACCAGGACTTAGTGGAGAACCTGCAGAAGGTAGAAACGTTCATGGAGCTCAGAGCCTGGTCACAGGGGGGTTCCCGGTGAATGGGAAACCTGGCCTTATCCCAGAGTTCCAGGAGTTCTGCAGTAGAAGGTCACAGCTTTCCCTAGGTGCCTGGAATTCCCAGCCACAGCCACCACTGTCAATATCCTGAAGTTGCTGAGGTCACTGGCACCAAGTCTGGCAATAGTAACCAAAGTACCAATGTGTACCTCAGACCTAACAATTTCTATCCTAGGAATTTACCCACTAGATAGTCAGTCCCCAGGAAGACTATACCTCTGTCCTATGAAGACGATACCTCTGCAGATGTATACCATGGCAAGACTGGACAAACCCTGTGTCCACCAGCAGGTGACCACAGTGCAGTTCCTCCATAAAGAGGAACACGCGTAGCCAGAGAAAACAAGGCGCTCTTTTTATGCGCATGTGCAATGACCCCCAAATCACACTGCCAGGTGACAAAAGTACGTTCAATATGACACAATTCCATTGCTGTGAAGGTCAAAAACCCATCTGTGATGAGAGCTGAATAGTAATGGCTGGTTGGCAACATTATGAACTGGGAAGAGCCAAGGACAACTCCCAGGGTGCTAGAATGCTTTTTCTTCATCTGCAGATACATCCAGTAGACATGTCTATAAACTCACACATGCATTTTGGTCTATATAAGCTATGCAGTTTTAAAGAGGGAAGAAAAGTGAAGCATAAAGTTCTAATATATATGATTTTATGTGAGAAGGAAGCAAAACAACACATATACATATTTGCCTGTATAAACTATTTCTAGGATACACGACCTGTCCACAGTAGGGAAACTGAGAAGCTGGGGTGAGAGACAGGACTTTTCTCTCTATACTTCCAGATTTCTTGAATTTTGAACATACATATTTTCAGTCTAAAATCTAAAATGAAAAAAAATTATTATTTGTAGTGTATGAGTGAACTGCCTACATGTATGTAAGCACACTCATGCTGTACAAGGCCCATGGAGGTCAGAAGATGCTGGATCCCCCAGAACTGGAGTTATGGACAGTTGTTAGCCACCATGTGGGTGCTGGGAACCAAACCCAGGTCCTCTGCAAGAGCAGCCAGTGCTCTTAACTGTTGAGCCATCTCTCTAGCCCCCAAAAATCTAAATTTTTTTAAAAACCAGAAGACAGACTGGAAGGAAGGGATCTGAGGATGGTGGTGTCCTCTAGAACAAGGCCAATTTAGAATGGGGAGGCCTAAGTGCAAACAGAGCTTTCATTTTCAGAAAAACAGAGTTTTTTAAAGCATAGTATATCATAGTAATGGCAGAATGACTATCAACAGTGTTTGTGAAGCAGTATGTAACACACCCACAAGCATCAGCTCACTTGGGAATTACAACCACCCCCAAGAGTTAAAGAGGCTCAAGAATCTTGAAACCAACTCAGAGGTGGGTGATGCTCTATCCTAGCTGTCTGTGTGTACCCTAGATTCTCCTCCGAGACTCTGGGTGGAGGATCACAGCAGCAACAAGACTCCAAGCAGAGGTCCCTGTGTGTACCAGGGACTTTACCCCTCTGGCAGTGACCTCAGATCTGCTCAACCCTTAGAAATTGGGACTCTCCCTTGGGCGAGAACTTGAGGTCAGAATCAGCACAGCTGGAGAACAGCATACAGTTTCCATGGAAACCACAGGCTATGGCAAGTTGCAACACCCTTGACAGTATTCCTTATTGTGCTTAGAAAGGTTTTAGCAGGGATGACTAGAGCATGGGCCAACCAAGGCACTGTCCTGTTGCCCATCCAGAACTTTGCGGCCAGCACACTCCAGCCTCAAGAACATTGAAAGCAAGACGTCTAGATGGTCCCTGCCACAGGTTCCCAGCAGCCCTCCTTTACACATATGAGCATCAGTGTCTGGGACTATTAAAAGGTCTAAGTGCCAGGCTGAGAAGCTCAGAGACAGGGACTGGGAATATGGATTTTCAATAAGCTCCACAGAGGAGCCTGTAGTGTAGTTGGCTTTAGGACCTGTATGATATGGAGGTAGATGTGGAGGAAGCTCTTGGCACCTGCTTCCCATGACTATGGTCCCATTTCTTCTGGACCAGGAAAAGGTGTGTGTGGGGGGGCTTTCTCTGAACAGGACGAGAAAGACCTAAGGACAGACAAGTGAGGGACCAGTGGGCCCAAATGGTATCTGGCAATAAGGCAAGGGCTCAAGGCAAGCAGGTGGGCCAAAGGCAAGAGCAATCAGGACAGATCCAACAGCTCAGCAAACTTTTCTGGTGCCCTGTAGGACCCAGTCCATCTCTGTGATTCTTCCCCAGCTGGACCTACCTGTGTGTCACAGAGAGTCCGATATCCCTTCGTACCATCTGTGGGGATCCGTGTGGGAGATCTGCAGAGAAAAAGTCAGGTTGGGCAAGCTGAGGAGGTTCTGTGGGGCTGGCTCATGTCTGAAACCTTCTAGCTCAGAGATCACAGGCTAGACAGGATATGGTGTATTGCATAGCACAGAAATGCTTCACAGGTAGAACGAAGATCTATTAAACAGGGATGGGACAGACCCAGCTAGACTGGGAGGGTGGGTGGTCCCCCTCATGCTGGGCTTGCTCTCCAGTGGATATCACTGCCCGGCCTCTATAGATGGCTTGGTCTGCATGCAGTGGGTTCTGCTTTAGTGGGAGGTAGCCGAGATGCAGAGAGAAGTTCCTGTATATGTCAACCTCTCACCCTCTCATGAGTATTCATTTCCAGGGCTTAATTCTGGCTTATTCTGGTTAAGTAGGTGGAAGTTTGACCTCAACAGAAGGCATAGGGCTCCTCAGCCATGCAATTTTACCTGTGCCCTTCCAGCCAGCAGCACTTCGGGGACAGTTCTTTCTAATTTTGACAGGAAGAGCAAAGGCAAGGTGTGGCTCTTCCAGGCCATCCCCTGAACTTCTGGGGACATCTTGGTTCCTCTTTCTCTGCTAAAGGGCCACCACCTGAAGGCTCTCCTCTGTTTGCCTTCTGCAGGGCCTCTAGTAGGGGTTCCCTCCCCTGATACAGACTCCCTCCCCTGATATGGGCTCCCCTAAGAGCAGGCATCCCAGTGCTTACAGCGAGGCCAGCTTTGCAGTAGATGAGCAACTGGACACTGTCTGTCTATCACCCAAAGCCTAAATGACTAACTCATGCCCTACTCTACACTATCTCCTGATGATTCAGGGACCTGGGACCAGAGCTCTGGTAAGGGCCCAGGGGAAGAGGACATGCACTCATGCTTTCCTGGGGTCCTGTAGTAGCTCCCTCCAGTCCTGTTGCAACCTACTAAGCCCTGCCCTCTCCAGAGCCCTTGCCCTCCTCCACTATCATTAGCTAGTTATGGCTGGTAGGAAAAGAAATCACCATTTCACTCAGAAAACCCCAGACACCCGTACCTTGCCACTCAGACCATTACTCTACTGAGAGCATGTGTGCCAGGAAGCCTGTTTCTAGATCCAGACTGAACCCTAGCCCTTCTGTGGTCCCTATGTTACCACAGCAATGGGAGGATAAGAGGCGAGAGATCAGGCTAGCCTAGGGTCAGAGGTGCAGGCTTTGCTAAGTGCCCTGGGAAGAGGAAGTAACAGGTACCTTCCTTCCCTACCAGCCTTCCTGGGGCTAACTGAAGCTCCCTCCAGGACTGTCACAGCCTGCTAAACTTCCCTACCCCTCAATTGTTCCCCTAGCCATTATCATCAGCTAGCGGGTAAGAAAAGAAGTAGTCACAATTTCACTCAGAAAACCCCAGGCATTTCTGCATTGCTACTCAGACCATCAAAAGCAGACTCAGAGGCCTACCTGTCCCCTGTGCTAGACATCACAAGAGGACCTGACCCCTCCCCCCCGACCCCAGTGTCTGAGTACATGTGAAAGCCTGGTTCCAGCTGGAGACATAGGTCTAGAAAAGGGGTTCCAACATTTTCTGGGCTTCCTCCTTCCTTAGTGGAGAGACCTGTACCCTCAAATTCAGAGATGCCTCCAGGAATGCCTGCCTCCTGGAGAAAGGGGTCCTGAGTGCTTTAGGGTGACTTAGCACCTGAGCCAGGCAGGTAGCATCTCCCACCCAGAGCACAGCTTTCCAAGACCTCTCAACAGGCAGGAGTAGCTTACAGAGGCCACTGCAGAGATGGCAAGGTGGAGATGGGCTTAGCATTGGGCTTTTGTGGACTGAGACACTTTCAAGGTCTCTACTTCCCATGGGCCTGGTTGAAACCAGACTGTTGTTTTGAGGCCAGCTGCCTCAGAGTCAGTTCACAAAGTGGTTGTCAGCACCTCTGTTCCTGGACTATGAACAGCCAACTGTGCTAAGGCGGAATCAGAGAAATCCATCCCTGACAGGGACAGCGACTTGAACGTGACTCCCAGTGACAGAGGGGATGAAAATGAATTGTCCTTACCAAACCTGGAGAGACAAAAAGAAGAGATAGGGGTGATGTCACCATGCTGGCTCAGACTGCTTGGAAAACTACCTGGTAAGAGAGAGCAGGCCAGGGTCTGGACAAGGACAGAGGCCTGGCCCTACAGTCTCTGTGAGGACATATGCTTGATGGGAAGGCCAGAAGGCGATGTCAAAACAAGACCTTAGCTTACCTACGCCACCAGCCATCCTGCATAGCAGATCACCCCACTTCACAACTGAGAAAATAGGTTCTCAGACTCTTTTTAGGTCATGTGACCCATGGGGTGTGTGCCCAAGGACCAAGAAGAGGGGGTTAGGTTGGTCTGACCTAGAGTGGCAAGGAATTGAGTAGCAGAGCAGGCATCAGCTAAAAGGTGGATCTCAGGAAGGGTCAACTGGGGATATGTTCTGAGCATGCCTGTCTCCTCTCCTGGGCTGCCTGCCTTTAACACAGAGATCCACCTGCCTCTGCCACCCAAGTGCTGGGATTAAAAGTGTGTGCTACAACGCCTGGCTTAAGATGTGAGGTTTTTAATATCCATGATAATTAGAATTATCAATAGAATTAGCAGCCTGGCTTAAAAACTTGTTCCTGCTGGGGGTGTAATGGCCCAGCACTTGGGTGGCAGAGGCAGGCAGATCTCTGTGAGTTCGAGGCCAGCTGGGGCTACAGGGGGACCTTGTCTTAAAAAACTAAAAAAGAAATAAAGACAGGAGGGAAACCACACTCCCGTATAGCAACAAGGCAACTCTTTTTGTCACATATTTTCTTTTAATGGGGCTAGAGATGGTAAGTGCTCTATTATGGAACCATATCCCCAGCTCCTTCCAAATATTTTCAATCCTTCACTGGTTGGATTCTCAGGTGCAACTCATGGATATAGAGGGCTAACTCTATTTAACTGCCAGCGCTCAATACCTAGAGTTTACTTTTCAGTCTGCCTTCGTGACCAGCTATGTTCCTGACAGTGGCTGTTCTGCCAGCCTGTGAGAAACAAATCTTTAGTATTTTAAGCCTGGAAGATATGGAGACTTGTTGTGGCCTAGCCTTGCCTAGCCTATTCCGACTGGTAGATGGCATCACTGCATATGTGTGCGTATGTACAGAGAGACATACAGTGGGATTCAGTCCAACTGCATCTGAGGGAAGAGACACCTTTTTTTCACTTTGCATACTTTTATGTGGGTAGACTTTGTCCTTTTAATGTACCTAAGAGGAAGCCACAGGGCAAACTCACCTCATTGGGGAGACATCATCGATTCGGTTCCCCAGCTGGGATTCATGGGACTTGCTGCGGGTAAGCGTGGGGAAGTTGGGCAGCAGCTGAAAGACCTTGCGGCTGGGTGGTGGAGGCGTCCTTGGTGGCTTCAGCTTGGCATGCCGTCGAAGCTGGGGTGTGGTAGGGGGTGTGATGAAGCTGTGCAGGGCCCGGGGGGTCAGCCTGCCGCTGGTGTGCAGGGGGATACAGGTGTCCGAGAGGCCCTCACTGAGGCTGGGGGCGGCTGGAGAGTCTGAGGCAGGCAGAGTTGACACAGAGATGGAGCGGGAACCCTGGGTGCCGCCTACCACTCTGCTCAGGGAGGAGTTCCCTGGGGGCCAGGCTAGGCTGGCTGGAGAGAGTGTGTCCACTGAAGGCCCAGAGCTACTTTCCCGTCTTGCTTCTGACAAACTCCAACCTGAGTCTTCTTTGTGCTCCCCTCCTGTGGGACAAGGAGTCAGACAACAGTTGGTGTTACAAAAGACTCAAGACTGTCACTACTATCAGAGAGCACGGCACCTTGACTGAGGGGGTACTCACTGTTCCTCAGCAGCAGGCTCTGCTCCCAGCCTTACCTGTCAGCAGCTCTCGTGCACTCATGGCACCTTCCAAGGTACCTAGATGACATGGGGCCATCACTGCTGATGTCACCCTTTCTATTATATTGGGGCTATACAGGGTTCTTACTGTCACATCTTAGGATAGCAAGCTCAGAAACTCACCCTAGAATGGGACCTCAGAAAGGGAAATAGTGACAGATCCTGTTAGGAAAGGGAAGCTGGAGGTGTGAGAGAGGAAAAACTCTGCTTGAAGGACAGCAAGCTGGGTGTGGTGGTGCACACCTACAATCCCAGAATTCAGGGAGATGAAGGTTGAAGGATCAAGGGTTCAAGGTCATCTTTGACTATACAGTGAGTTCAAGGCCAATCTGGGCTACATAAGATCCTGTTTCAAAAAACCAAGAAGGACAAAACATTAAAAAAAAAAAATTTAGGGGATGGAGAGATGGCTCAACAGTTAAGAGACTGACTACTTTTGCAGAGAACCTGGGTTCACTTCCCAGCACCCACATGGCAGCTAACAACCATCTAGAACTCTAGTTCCAGGGGATCTGACGCCTTCTGCTTTTTTGCTCTCTGTAGGCATTGCATGACATGGGTGCAGCTATATACATGCAGACAAAACCCTCGTACACAGGATGAGGCCCAGGGTACAGGGTGAGACTCTGTGTCAAAAACAAAACAAAGCAAAACAGAACAAACACAAAACAAAACAAACAAAAAAACAAGTATCAGCTGTGTGTGGTAGCACACATGTATAATCCCAGCACTCAGGAGGTGAGTTCAAGGCCAGCCTAGACTACATAATGAGAAAAAAACCAGAAGCCACGAGGAAAAATAATAGCAACAGTTACCATCCCTTCACTGGCCTAATCCTAAAGAGCCCCTAACCTCACTTTAGCTTGTTTTGTCTTCACAACAATCCTGAGAGGGACTGCTATTACCTTCATTGCTCAGATGAGGAAACTGAGGCACAGGGAGGTTAAAGGGGTCTGATTCCTCAGTCCCTCTTTACTGTGACTGGAGTGCTCTCATCAGACCTTTCTGGGGTGCAATGAAGATGCACTGATTTCATGTGCCCTTGGCTCCCAGCAGGTGCCAGTGAAGTAGTCATGTGAGACAGATTAAGATGTCCTGTGATGTAATATGGCCAGGACTGTCCTAGGGATGCAGGAGTTTCACAGTTGAGACTGAATGAGAGAGAAGGAACCTGCAAGTGTTCTCTTCCCCAGGACCCTCTCCTGGCACAATGGGAAAAGGACCCTCAAAGCCCAGCTGGGCCCCATACCAGGTATGGGATCCCAGACACAATACCCAGCACCACCCACATTCTGGTGCTTTGAGTCACATACCAGCTCATCAAAGGCTGCAGCCAGTGTGTACCACAAGCTTAGTATACAGTAGATGCTTTAAGCATCAATGAGTTTCCTGTCTTGGTACCTCGGTCAGGCATAGCAGCCTTCATAACTCAAAGAGGTACCTCTACTGTATAGCTAGCTCCTCTCCGATTCTTTCAAATCCAAGGGAAGGAAGGCTGACAACCCCAAAGATCCCAGCTTGGGAAGCAAGTCCCCCAACTTCCCCACTGCCTGAGAACACCATCTCTGAAATCTGAGGCTCCATACTGGCTCTGCTACCAACTGGTGTGCTTCCTTGACCTTGACTCACCCTCTCTGGGCTCAGTCAGTTTTATAAAATGTGGGGGACAAGAATGCTCATCACTTCTCTGTCATGTTCATCTCTCCAGCACCAGCCAGGAGACCTGCAGGGTCAAAGACCTTTCTGAATTGAATATAAGTCTCTACAGTGCTCTATATTCAGAGAACTTAGTACAATGGGGCCAAGGAAGACATTAAGCCCAATACTTTGGGGTATTAAAAAAAAAAAAAAAAACAAGCAAAATATAAAGCTGGGTTTCTCCCTTAAGCCTTGGGCAGCTGGAGATAAAGCAGGCAGCTCGGTCATTAGCATGGGCCTGATTCCACTCATTAGGCTCTTCCAGTGCCTTCTCTGGGTGGTGGTGGGAACGTTAACTCAGGTGTTGCAAGCTGTTTCCAAGGCAAGATGTTTTTAAAATGCCTGTGAATAATCTCTGAGGAGCTTGTGGTAGTGCCAGGATCATATACTATGCCTGGGATGGCCCTGGACACACTCCCAGATGAAAAGCTACACAATTTCTCCAATCATGCTGGGCTCAGGCTGAGCGCACTGAAATTGGTGTAGGCCTTGTGAACACAGAGTCTGAGCTGCCTGTGGAGACAGGAGCAGGAGGGGAGAGGACTGAGAGGGGGCTGGAATGCAGGAAACTAGAGGCTTGGAGTGACACAGATGCCTTCCTGTATGTGTGGGGCTGGGTGGCTGGCAGTGGGGTGGGGTGGGAGGGATGTCAAGGCCTACTCTGCAGTCAGCCAGGGATTCCTAACAATAGCCCAAGTTTCCTGGGTCAGACTGGCCAGGCCAACTGTGCTCCAAGGCCCTGTGGACTCTGAGAGTACTCCTTCAAGGTCCAGCACACTTTCAAAACAGCCACCCTGGCCTTTCCAAGCTGCCCCCGAAACCCAGAGGCGCACCTGGCCAAGATCTGCTGCGGCAGAGGCTCCACCTCCCAGGGAACAGGAGGGTAGGGAGGCACAGAGACAGGGAAGCAGGCATTACTTACCCAGGCCTGTCACCTTCCGCAGGCAGGTGAGGGCTTGCTGTAGCCGGCTACACTCCTCGGGACTGGCCCCCCAGCGTTGCAGCATCTCCTTTGCCTTGGTCTCATCTATCTCCAGCAGGGCATCCAGCGTAAGCTCTCGGGGGATCTCCTGGGGGCACAAGAGGGACAGGGAGAGAAGAGAGCTGGTGAGCGGTGAAGGCCCTTCACAGCACCGGCTCTGGCCTCAGCCGGGCAAGACAGACCTTCTTGCTGAGTGGCAGGGGCCAGCTGCTGGCTGGGACGGCCCTCTGACTAGAAGCTACCACTTGTCAGAGGACACAGGCAGAACGCTCGCTCACCCCCACCCTCAGTGCTCCCAGAAACAGCAGCTGAAGTGGAGATGCCACCTTCAGGATGGGGGCAGGGGAGGGAAGAAAACACCAGAGAGGTCTGGATGGGGACTCTCTAGTTTGTTTTTATTTCTCGGAACAGAAAAGTTAGGAACCACGATGCCTTTGGTAGCCCTTTACAACCTGGTTATATCTGAATCAAAAAAGATAAATCTCAAATTAAACTGGCTTAACAAGGATAAACAAGGACAAGAAAAAGAGCCCTTGCTATGGACTGCAAACACACTTACTGACTGGTCTTATTTAAATCAGTCAAAGCAGGTCACCAGCTAGATTGGGCACAAGGGCCTGTAATCCCAACTGCTCCAGAGGCTGAAGCAGAAGGATCTTAAATTCAAGGTCTCCCTAAGTTATAGAGCAAGTTCAAGGCCAGTCAAGGCAACTTAGTGAGACCTTGTCTCAAAAGGTGAAGGCTGGGGATGTACCTCAATTGGCAGAGTGCTTCCTTAGCCTTGCAAGAAGCTCTGGGTTCCACCCCAGCACCACATACACCATGCATGGAGGTGCATGCCTAGAATCACAGTTCTTGGGAGGCAGAAGAATCAGAAAGAGGCAGAAGAATCAGAAGTTCAAAGTCATCATTGGCTACATAGTGAGTTTGAGGCTAGCCTGGGTTACATGAGACTGTCTCAAACAAACAAATAACCCAAACCAAAACCCAAAGTGAAAGCAGGGCTGGTATATAGCTCAGTAATAGAATGTCTGCCTAACACATGTGAGGCCCTAGGTTTAATCCTCAGAACATTTTGGGGGTGGGGTAAGCAAATACCTCAGTATGTAACAATGTTTGTTGGGCCAAGTAAACCTGACCGTCTGAGTCTGATCCCTGAAACTCACATAAAGGCAGAAGGAGAGAATCAACTCCACGAAGTTGTCCTCTGACCTCTATATGTGTGCTGTGGTGTGCATTTGCACGTGCACATTGTATACATACATATATTGGTAATAAATAAAATAAACTTAACAAGAAAAGAGCTATTATTGGGTCAGTGAGATGGACCCGAGTGCAGGCATGACAACCTGTCTGATCCCCAGACCCCACAAGGTGGCAGGAGAGAGCTGTCCTCTGACCTCCATGTGCAGCTGTGACACAATACACACACACACACACACACAAACACACACACACACACACACACCTCTTAGGGGACAAAGGGAAAGGTGGCTAGAAGAGTTGCTAAGTGGCCCTGTGAGTCTGGTGTTACTCCTAACCCACATTACATGGCAAAAGGCTTCATCTATTTAAGAGCCTTTCAAAACAAGGTTCTTTCTCTGGTTAATGGATAGGAAGTCAGCAACTCAATGAGACCTTGGTGATATAGAGGGTCACCTGAGGACTGTGGGTGGCCTGTAGTATGGTAACACCCAGCAAGAAAACAGGAACCTCAGACCTACAACCAAGTTGGGGCCCAGAGAATGACACCCCTCCCAAACGTGGCATATTTTAAGCATGCTGAGCAATTTGCTCTTTAAAAAAGGCCTTAGACGCAGGCTCAGAATCCAGGGCCAGCTCAGCTGCTCTTGCTTTCTCCCCTCAATGCAGCAAGAGGCCCTCTTAGCATTATCTACAGGAACATCACTGCCTGTGTCCCACTTGAAATCCCACCTACTATCTCAGAAAAGATGACCAGGGACCAGAACCTACCTGCCTGGCCTTCCCCTCCTCTCAAAGATGATGGCAGGCCTTGGGCCCACTCAAATTCCAAAAAGCATCATTTAACAAGCTCATTTTTATTTCTGGGACCATTCATTTCCCCTAATTCACCAACTCACCCCCCGACCCCCAACCCCGTAGAAACAGGGTATATGAGCTTCAGGATCAGTTTGGCTCCTGGGCACAACGTAATTGCATCTGTGCATGTAATAAATTTGTTTTCTTGAGACAGGGTCTCACACTGTAAGCCCAAGCTGGCCTGGAACTCACTGTGTAACTCAGGTTGGTTTCAAACTCCAGTCAATCCTTCTGCAGCCTCCCAAGAGCTGAGATTATAGGCATGTACCACCATACCCATTTCAAAGAGTAATTTCACTGTCAGTCCATTCACAGTGCTGCAAATCTTGAACTCAGTGTCAAAACACAACTGACTGAGCCCTGGGGACAACAGTACAGGCCATGCCCTTCCTCCCACAGCACCTCACTAATGGTTATTCCCCCTCCAGGGTTCTGCAAGATTCAGCACTGTTTATAATAAATAGTTCATATCACAACAAGAAAAAGATACAGAACAGTACCAACAAAGATCATCATCACAGGTCAGATAAACTCTTGGCTGTCAGAAATCCTTCCACATGATAGCACTAGCACTTACAGGAAACTGCTAGTAAGAATAGCATGGGGGGGGGGGGGGGGGCTTGAAAACTGGGGATCCATGAGCTGGAGAGATGGCTCAGCTGTTAACAACATTGGCTGCTGTTGCAGAGGACCTGGGTTCAGTTCCCAGCACTGGTGGTAAACAACTGTCCATGGGGATCCAACACCCTCTTCTGATCTCTGTGGGTATAACACAACATGGGTATACTTACATACATACAAGCAATACACTCATACACATAAAAAATAAAAATAAAAAAATACTAAAAAAAAAAAAAACGGGTGTGGCGCATGTCTTTAATCCCAGCACCCAAAGGCAGAAGCAGACAGATCTTTGTGATATTGAGGCCAGCCTGGTCTATATAGTGAGTTCAAGGCCAGCTGGAGCCACAGGAAAACCCTGTCTCAAAAAGACACCCCCCACAAACAACAACAACAACAAAACAAAACTGGTCCCACAGGAGCTTTTACTCTACCCAGCAGTCTTCCTTTATGACCTCAGCAACATTCTTCCTCACAGTGCAGTTTTTGACAACTTTCTCCATTTTACCATGGAAAACAACTTGGCAATATCATTTGAACAGGGGCAGGTGACCTGCATATAACCACACAAAGCAGCCACACGTGCTAGCATACATCTGTAATCCCAGTTTAGAAATGCACAGGTGGGTCTTGAATTCAAGGCCAGCCTGGGCCACATGCTGATTCTGACTCAAAATCCTAAAGAAAACTGCACAAAGCAACACTTTAGCTTAGATGGGATGTCCTCAGTTGGTCACCCACAAACACCCATGCGTGGGGACACACACACACAGTTTGCCAAGACTGCTGACTCAACAGTTTTGGAAGATGAGAGATGGAGTTCCAGGCCTGAATCCCCAATTTCACTATAATGTATATAGTCTTTTTCCTTCCTTTTTATCCCCTCTTCACCAACTACACCCTTTCAATTTCTCAAACAAAACAATCACATTCAATATCACTATTTGCCAGCATAATATGCCGAGTACTTTGTGTGTACTATCTCCACTTGAACCAATACAGAAAGTCCATGCTTCTCATTCCACGTTACTAAGGCTTAGAGACCGTGTGTGACTTAAAGAGCTGTGTCAGATTCAAAGCTCCTGCCATCGCTCCATGTTGTCACCAGCTAATCTAGCAAAGCCTCACAACTTGGAAGTTATCTCTTGGGGAAGATAACTAAAAAAATTAATTATTCATTTATTTTTATTTTATGTGTATGAGTGTTTTGCCTACATGTATGTAACTGTACCATGTGTGTGCAATGATCATGGAGGCCAGGAGAGGGTGTTGGATCCCCTGGAACTGGAGTTATGGATGGTTGGTACCACTGTGTGGGTGCTGGGCACTGAACCTGGGTGGTCTGCAAGAGCAGTCAGTGCTTTTAACTGCTAAGCCGTCTCCCTAGCCCGGAAAATGATGTTTTCTTTTTGGGCCTTTTTGAGACAGGGTCTCCCTGTAGCCCCAGCCAGCCTGGAGCTCACTATGTAGACCAGGCTGGCTTGAACTCACAGAGATCTGCCTGGCTCTGCCTCCCGAGTGCTGGGATTAAAGGCATGTGCCACCATGCAAAAATGACTATTTTTAAAGTAACCAATTTCAACCTACTTTCTAACAGAACTACCCAGTAACATGGAAGGTTCTTTGTTCTTTATCCAAGTGAAATAATTCCTCTGAAAAGAAAAAGAGAGTATGTTCAAATTCTTTTCCTCAAAATATAAAATGTTAAAAAAAAAAAAAAAAAAAAAAAAAGGGGGGGGGGGGGGGGGGGGGGGGGA